TAGTCATGAGAGCGTTTTTACTCCGGAAAATCTTTGTGACATTTGAGGTTGGCGAGAAAAGAAGAGAGAAAATGTGTCTGAATAGCTGATCATTTACCTAGTCAGATCGTAAAGATGAATAACTGGACTATTCTCTGGCCTGCAGACTTCTCAGAATTTAGGTTTTACGAATCATAAAGTCCGAAACATTAAGCTTTTATTGACCCTTTTAAGATTCTTTACAACTTCCAGAGGATTTACTGAGTTATGAGAGCGACGAAAATTATCAGAGTCAAGTATTTGTAGGTGGTCTGTTTTAGCGCGTGCTCGACACGTGCTCTAGAATTTTAGAACTTGACCGAGGAGAAGGAAACAAACCACTCGGACACGCCTCGTGCAAGTTTTGAAGCGCCCTGTTTTACATTCAGCGAACCGCTATCTTATGAATACTCTGCTCATTCTTCTGCGTTCATTCTAAAGTTCAAACGAAAATTGGTCCCCCCACATTTATTGAAGCAATCAGAAAAAGGTTATTTCCGCTGATGATTTGTATAAAAAAGAAGATTCTCAGCGCGGCCGTTTTCGTGAATTCTATATCTTGACTTTCAATACAGAAGTGAGTGCTCTACCGGTCCAGCAATATGATCTCTTGACTTCTGTTAATTAGAAGTAGAAACGATTTTGTCTGTGAAGACAGAAAAATAAATACCCCAAGACCTCTTGTTTTTTGCTGAATATTTCTCGAATCTGCTTTTTACTTTTGTATACCATTTCTTTGCTCTTAAAAGAATTTTTTTTAAAGATGTTCTTGGGTTTTGGCTTTTTAATCATTCAGAAGCAATGAAAGTTTTATTGGCCGAGAAAATAAAAATTGACTTCTAAAACCCTTAAAAACCCCACATCTGGACTCGGCAGCCTGTGTAAAAAACTTGAGTCAGGATCTCAAAAGCTAAAATAAAAAGCCGCGTAGCGGCTTTTTTAAAAACGAAGCCGCAAAGCGGCTTCGCGAAACCATCATTCTTTTTTTTTTTTTGGTATTTTATTGGATGCAGTTTTGAAAGTGTGTTGGCAAGTCAGACCCGCAAGCAGGAAAGACTTCCGGAAACATTGAATATAAGTTTATAAAGGCAGCATAACAATGGCCGCCGAATGATCAATGTTAAAATATTGGCGAAGCCGCTACGCGGCTTTTCATTTAAGCTTTTCAGATCCTGACTCAGGTATTTTAAACAGGTTGCCGAGAACAACCACACATTCCATTTCAAAATGAAAACTGCATAACAGTAACTTGGCGAGGTGTGGAAAAACCATTGGACATGCGTGAAGCGAAAACTAACGCTGATTACAAGGCTATAAACCGGCCACTAATTTACTAGTTACTATCGAGCCGATTCGTTCCCACATTTTATATGTCCACAGAGCATAATCTTGCTTCTCTAAAAAATCAGCAACCCCATTAAAATCATCAATTATTTATACTCTTAAAAATTCCATGAAAATAAGGACTTACGTATTCGTCACTTAATTAAGGGTGTCTTCTGCAGATTCCTTCATTTTTGAATTCTCAAATCCTCTTTTTTTCTTCTGATAATTCTCTCTTTTTTTGAAATTTTCTGGCGCTGATTGTGATTCTTCTTCTCGTGTGCTTCTGCAGAAAAAACACACGCACTACCTAATGGCGTGTAGTAAAAATCGTAAACCGAAAGCTCGCCGGATTATCTCACATACATCTTCTTCCCTTTGAACTTATGTATGCCAAGAGAAAGCTCTCCTAGTGAAGTTAAAACGAAGCAAATAGGACGAGTGTGGGACCCCCTGCTGAAAAGCGTCACTGAGAAATGAATGCCATTTAAAAGTAATTAGTTTTGAAACTTCTGAAGGGATAGACAGCGCCTTTTACGATGATTGAAAAAGTTGAGCTCAAATCGTGAATTCGAAATTGCTTTTATCTCGACCGAGCGTTTCCGTTCTTGATTTGTTGAGCTTTCATTTTTTGACTTTTTCAAACACCTTGAATTCTTGCTTTTGCCAAAAATCGGATTCCCGAGTCAGGGTCCTGAATGAGTTAAGGGAAGAGCCGCGTAGCGGCTATTTTAATAACAAAGCCGCTACGCGGCTTCGTTAAAAAAAAAGCCGCTACGCGGCTTAAAGTTTCGCTTTTTTAGGACCTAGAGGTTTCCGAGCCAAAATTCCGGGCCTTCAAATGAAGCAGAAAAGCCCCGATTTTTTTGCTTTCATATCAAAAAAAAACTGAGCCCACGTTGCCTTATCACTATAGCTCTCACTAAAGAGTGTAAGAATAAACCTTAGGTTGCATTCGCTGCTGTAAGTACCAGTAGATAACGTTTCGTCAAAATTTCGGATCTTTTTCAAAATTCAGTGCCGACAAGTGTACCTCACTTTCGTCGCTTGATATGTTCTCATTAGATTCTAGTGCAAAATAAGAGAATTCGCAGATTCGTAAAATCGTGTAAAGAATCTTTTTAACAAAATAAAGCTCTTTACATGAATCATTATTTACTATGGACGAGAGAAGCCTACTTTGACTGAATTAACGATTATGATCGTTAATCATCTTTAATCCTGTGCTTAGTCTGAACTTTGATTGATCATTTATGCGTTTTTTTCTTTATTCTTTGCTCTCCTGAAACTCCTTTGATGATTTCAAAAAAAATTTCGCGGGCCTGGAAATCGTCAAAAAACTTCTTGTCTAGTTTTGAAGAGCTCGTCGAGACGAGTCGAACGATATATAAAACTCCAGATAGTTTTAAGATTTTCCGCCAAAAATAGTGATAAGAAGGTGTCTTATCAAAAATTTTCTGACCGGCGCCGTTTTTGTTCTAGAAAAGCTGAGGTCATGCTTGACCCCGGAAAATGATCCTCATGGTCTGGTCTATTCCGGCAAAAATTTCAGCTCGCCCTCACATATCCTGCTGTGCTTATCAGCGAAAAATCAAAAAATAGTGCATTTTATTGTCGCTGCACGTTCCTAGTTTCCGGCCCATTTTTAATCCCATTTTCCTTGGAAAATGAAATTCAACGATAAACTCGGCTGGGTAAATGATGACGAGCTGAAATTTTTGCCGGAATAGAACAGCCCATGAGGATCATTTTCCGGGGTCAAGCATCACCTCAGCTTTTCTAGAACAAAAACGGCGCCGGTCAGAAAATTTTTGATAAGACACCTTCATAATTTAGGAGCACGGGACTTTTTGCGGAGAAAAATTTATATTTCCTTTAGAAGCAGATACCGAGAAATATGATCAAAGTAGATGATTTAAATGCCCTAAAGTTCGGCCTCAAATAAAAGTTTTGTTTAAATAAATCGACTCGTTATTTGATGGCAAAGTCCCGTTAACCTCGCAATAATCAAATAAATTATGCAAGTAAAAATATTTTTCATGACTCGTTCCAATAAATTATAGGAAACGAACTCTGGGACATTTAATTCAAAGAACTTTTGCTTTCCGGAATAAGGGGAAAGACGCAATCACGACGTAAGGCTCCACAAATGAAGCAATTCATCATAAATGTGAAGGAGCAGTCGCTGATTTCAAGTGCAATCAATTAACATGACATCCGACTCGAGCACTTATCAATCTCTATTTTTCCATTCAAGAAGAGCTAGCACATTCAGAAATTTGCTTTTGGGCTTAGTCACCAAAACCGGATTATGAATCGGAAAAGTGCTCTTTTTCCATCATTTACGAAGTGACACCCTTATTTTTTCGATCCAAAATTTTATCTTAGGCTAGATGATGAATCCAAGCCCCTTTTTAAAGGGAAAAATAAGGGTGTCACTTTGAAAACTTTGAAAAAAATTGAGTTAGAAATCGCGGCTTTTTTAACCCGAACTTCAACGGCTTTCCGTAAATTAGCACTCCGTTGAACTTTTAATGCCGTAGTTGTTTCATTATGTTAAGCTGGGCAGGTCAAACATGAACTGTTAGATAACTTACTGACAGGCTAAGTTGGCTCAGGTGTGCTCTCTGGTCATCAGCGCGCGGCGGATAGAAGTGATGCCACGGAGAGACGATGCTTTCTGATAAGAATCGACTCCACGATACTTTAATGAATATTCGAGTGTGGCAAATGCGAACAGAAGATAATTGCATCTCGTTAGAGTGAGCACTTTTCTTTACAAAAAGACCGATTTCGTGCGGTTCAAAAACGCCCGATAAGAAAGGACGACGCTTTCAGAACAGTTTCTGCAAAACAGACAGTATTTCAAGTATCAAAGGCAATTCTGTAGATTCAAAGATTGAAGAAGTTCTAGTGCAGGATCTGTGGAATCGTCGAGGAAAGGAAAGAACGTGTTTGCAAGTAGATTAAAGACAAAAGCTGGAATTTAAATTGGACTCGCAAAGAGCGCTAAATGCGCCGATGTAACTCAATCAAAGATTCGCGTGATCAGATTCTGCCGTGCGCAAAGGTCCTCTGATTCAGGAGCGATTACGCGTTTTTCAAGAGCAGCAGCAGAGAAGAGAACGGAAACTAAATCGGGTCAGGGACGCGAAAATCCCGTCCCAATCGACCGTAAAAAGTAAATTATCGAACGTCCAGTATTCCTTTCCGGATTTAAAATCGTCGGATTTCAACCTTTATCCGATGAAAAACACGTTCTAAAACAACCTTTCTGTACCTCCCTGCTTTGACTGTACTGTGCAGAAATAAACGTGGTTATAGATTGCGTCTAAAAAGAAGAGGATTTTGTAATAAAGGTCTTATCAGCGGAGATGGACTCTGTCGGACAGAGTTTCTTCTTTATCAGATTTTTATCATTACAATGACTTTGACCCAAGGACTTTTTCGCGCATGAAAATAACTTCTGCAGGGAATACTTCATGTAACGTTTTGAAGGTTTTGAAGCTTGTTATTGTGTGATTGAAATATCATTTAGTATTTACGTTCAATATTTTTTCGAGAACATTGTTATTTGTTTTTTTAAACACGTGGTCGGTTCATTTGGAAAAAATGAAGAAAAACCTTTTTTATTCCTTCGGATTCTGACCGGGTGGTAGATGCTGGACGATTTGGTAGATGCCACCACTGCAAACGGTATGAAAGTGACAAGAAATAGGCTTTGAACTTTTATTATGATATAATATATTTAATATTACTATAATTATGATATTTCAGTTACCCAGATTCGACCGCTAAACTGGCGACTGGCCTCCGCATCTGTCAGTCTTGCGTTTCCTCGGAGAGATACAAATGGATATTGGACCTGGGGCCGATTGAATTCAAGCCATCTGATGCGACGTTCAAATGCGCAGCGAAGGATTCAGGTTGCTCCGAGGATCAACTTACTTTTGAGGAGTATTGGATCGGAGCTTGCTGCAACAAAGCAGCCCAGCGAAATTGCAACTGTAAGTATATGTATTACTTGGCCGATAATATAGTTAATTGTTTTAAGCAAAAGACGCTCATCTTGCCAATGTGCAAAAAATTTACGAACGTGTCAGAGGAGAAGAAGAAAATGCCGAAAAAGCTGCGAAACAAGCAAAAATCGATCTGATTGACGCGGAACAAGCTCTCGAAGAAGCGAAGAAAGCAGTAACAGAAACTGAAGAAACGCGGGTTCGCACGAAAGATTATAGAAGAAAGGTTCAGAAACGTCACTTGTTCCTTTCCGAAATTGCCATGAAAGAAGACAACGAAGATTTAGGTAAGAGTATGCTAATTACTACAAAATAAAGAGTTTTTCAGCGGAAATGACTTTCGTGAACGAGGCGAAGTTGAGTGACAAGCTCAAGTGCAAAGTTTGTAATGAACTGTTCAACGACGTTCGCGAAGAAACAATCATCACATCTTGTTCTCACAAGTTATGCAGCGTGTGCTATACCTCTCTTGAACAGAAGAACTGTCCTTTCTGTCGTAAACGATTTGCCGCGTCAAAAGTCGTCAAGGTCTTCGATCTTTAGAAACTCCCTTTGCTTCGATTTTTATTTATTGAAATTTTTTAATAAACCACAAACAATAAAAAAAAAAGTCTCAACTTGTCATTTCTAGCAGAAAACTTATCCAGCTATAAATTGCGTAGATGCGATGATCGGCGAGAATAACGAGTGTAATGTCCGTATAACTTGCAGATAACGCGCGAGCGAACTTACATCCAAAACCGTCATTATCTATTTGTAAGTTTCTGTTTAGAAAGAAGGTTGTTTTCAGCAAAATACACAAATTATGCGTTGTTGACATGTCAAAAAGTCACGTCCAAGTTGCGGGAAGGAGCAATAGAAGCAATAGACACAGCTGAAGAAATTTTCGCGGTGAAATTTTTCCTTTCATTACACGAACTAACGAAAGCTCTGTCTGACCTCAAGAATTCAGCCCAGACACGCCCGAAGAGCCCTCTAAGAACGGCCAGCAGCGCCTTGCAAAACTTGATATAAGAAACAATTCCGTTAAAATATTTCGACACATTCCAAACTCTTTCTAAGTTCCGAAGTCAGTTATTAAATTTACGTGCAAGTATTGTTCTAGCTCACTTGAAACGAGCGTGGCTGAGTCAAAAGATCTCAAAAAGGCGTGAACAAATAATTTCCCTAAACCGTTTTTAAAGCGTTTCTGACCGGTTTCCTTGACCACGCTAATTCCGGTCTTGAGCTGCCTCGAATTTCGCCAAGCAACAACTTTTTAGAATCCGTGAAAAACGAGGCTTTAGACGACAGTTCTCTCGAAAAGCTTTACAGTTCGCCTCCGTTGGAAATCTTTTATTCGATCCTTTATTTTAAGGATATAGCCTTGAATATTGAACTTTCGTAGCGCCGAATCCCTGTTACGAATTTATTCATTTTTCAAATTTACCCTTCCTAAAATTCATCGTAGATTTCGAAAATGACCTTATTTTTAGTACTTTCTATGGTGTTTGTACCTAAAAATCGCCTTCAAAATAAAACAGACCGTCGTTCTCTGAAAATTTCCATTAAAAAGGTAAATCTGGATTGATGATATGAAAGATTGAAGCCTTATCTCAAATCTAGCGGTGGATTTTGTAAAAATATTGAAGATTACGGCTTCTACTAACTGGTTTATGATTGTACTTCGAAATGGAGAGTGGCGCGCGCTGCCAATCAGAGCGAGGGGAGAATCTCAGTTACCATGAAGTTGAGCTCAAAGGGGAGATCGAGAATCTGAGCTACTGAAAAATGCACTGACTTTTTCAGTAGCTCATTCTGGGCGCGCCTAATTTGGGTGAGAAGCCGCGCAAACTCTTGTTGGCTCTCTGATTGGTTCAGACTTTCCAGATTCTGTTCTTCAGAATCTCGAGATTCTTCTAAGCCGCCAAGCAAGCGTTTCAGAAATCTTCTAGACTTCCCCGACACTGATTTGCGCGGGATACGGGGAAGGGGGCCAGGGGCTTTCTCCCCAAAGAGTAAAACTTCATGGTAGATTTCGTCCAAGCTGTCGACAAAATTACTCGCGTAAAATAGGATGAGCGATGGCTGAGTGAGATTTTCCCCTCGCTCTCATTGGCTGCGCGCGCCACTCTCCTTTTCAAAGTACAATCAAAAACCAGTTCCTAGAAGCCGTAATCTTCAATATTTTTGTAAAATCCACCGCTAGATTGGAGATAAGGCTTCAATCTTTCATATCATCAATCCAGATTTACCTTTTTAATGGAAATTTTCAGAGAACGACGGTCTGTTTTATTTTGAAGGCGATTTTTAGGTACAAACACCATAGAAAGTACTAAAAATAAGGTCATTTTCGAAATCTACGATGAATTTTAGGTAGGGTTAATTTGAAAAATGAATGAATTCGTAACAGGGATTCGGCGCTACGAAAGTTCAATATTCAAGGCTATATCCTTAAACTAGGTTTTAAGAACTTGAAATCGCTTTGGTTGAAAAATGGGGGAGGGGGCGTAAATAACAAGATTCCGTCAAAATAAGCGATTTCCTTCTCTTTAGGTGCAAGTTTAGCTAAATAAAGTTCCTCTTTCACAAAAAGTTTCAAGATTGTTTTACGATTATCTCTTCAAGGAGATTTCCTTGTAACTCAAATTTGCTCGTCTAGCAGCAAAACTCCTAGTAGTGCTTGTAGTACAAGCCAGCTGAAAGAAACTACGGTATCAAAACAGAAAAACAAATCTTTACAAGTCAGACTCACAGGAACATTTATTTCTTAAAGCTCAGCATCGGAAGAATTTTTTCAAGCCGTCCATTTTGTTGCTGAAAAGAAGAAAATAAGAAACTGTGCTTGAAATGTTTGTGTACCTGTCAAAGGGGTTCGTGAGTTCTTTCCGCTTCAGAAGGGGATCATCATGTGACGTAGCAAAGCTAACAATGTCTGTTTTCCGCTCTTTCTCTCCATATTCTTGGCTGGCCCCTGAAACCTGTGTAAAAAACCTGAGTCAGGTTTTAAAGAGCTTAAATAAAAAGCCGCAGCGCGGCTTTTATAAGATATAAGCCGCGTAGCGCCTTCGCAAAATAATCTTTACAATTTCTTTCTAAATGATGGCGATAATTGATATTCGAAATAGCTGCTACGCGGCTTTTCATTTTAGCTCTTATTTGTGGGCATATTGGGCAGAATTGGGAAAGAGCGTTCCTTTGATAGCATCGCTGACGAACAGTCTATCCATCTCTTTATGATTCTTCAAGTCCATCAGCTCCAGGAGCATTCGCTGCTTCATTTTAAACTCCTCGGTATCACATGCGGACAAAATATTAGGCATTTTGTTTTTGATCCCTGTTCTCAGAAATGCGGGCTTCTCCTCGTTTCCTGCTTATAAACCGTCGCTGTCAGCAAGAACAATACTTTGACGCAAAAGCGCTTATTGAACCCGTCAAAAGTAGCAATTTGAACGAAAATTTAAATAAATATGTTTATTACAATCATCTAAAATCAATGGTGCTCGTAGATGCTTTTTTCGAAGTTAAAGCCAGGCATTCCAGATGATTTACAGGCGGGGTCACTTTCGTTGACAATTTCGTCCATATTCGGGAGCTGCCAAATCGCGCAAATTAATGCATTTAAGATCAGTAAGATTCCCTTGAATCAAATTCAATTTTTCCATAGCTAAATAGCAGTAAACTTACTTGTGTGTTCGAAATGATCGTCCATCCCCGAAGCTGTTCGCCACCTTTTCTTAGGGTGGGCAATTATTGGTGGGGGCTGCGTCGATTGGAGATGACGCTGTTAGCCCCCGTTTCCGGAAAATTTTCGCCCAACAAAGCCCCCCTTCCAGTCGAGGGCCTCTAGGGGCCCTTGAAGAAGGTGCCCCCTACTGCCCAATTTTCAGCGAGCATTTTGGCCACCCTAGCCTGTTCTAGCAAACACTCGTTTATGCCAGAAGAAAGAACCGTAAGTAACGCCTCTACAAAGGAACCATTTTATCACTGCTTGCTTCAATTTCACCTTGCACGTACATGTGGATAACGGTCAAAATAAAGACCACGAGGACATAAGAAAAGCCAGTCTGCAGAGATACTGTCCCACCCAACAAAAACGCCAAAGGAACACCGAGTGCGGTCGATAACATTATCATGCTTTGCTGGCTCGAGGAAGATAGCGCTCTAAAAAATCTTAGCCCCGCCGAGCCGTTTCCTGGGACAAGAATAAGGCGGAGCCATTACTCTGAAGAAATGCGTTACCAAAACGATGAAGTAAATTAGCGTGAGCCACATTCTAGCGCGAATGGCGTTGAGGTAGGGGCAGTTGATCGTACTGAAATTAACTGTAAGAGGGATGAGCTGCTGTGGTATTCGATCCAACCCATGATGATCTGAAGAATCATCAGTGTCTGTGGTCATTTATCGATAAACTGCATCCTCAAAGCCTGTTATGAAAGGTGAAAGTTCATAACTTTTTTATTCTAGAACTTCATTATTTCTGCTGAACGTTTGCAAAAGCAGAGATGATCATCTGCTGAATAAAAAGGTCAAATACGTTCAAAAAAGAAGCGATTCTAAACCGCGCATCAACGATTTTTCTGACACGCTGATTACAAACCAATAAGAAATGATCAAACGCGTGCACGTTTTGTCGGCATGTGCAGAGAAGCTGAGCGAAGGCAAACGATCGTAATTCACGACCAGAAACATCATGTCCGAACTTGGGCTATTACAATGATTTCGATCTTTCTTTTTCGGAGAATCGACGATCCTTGATCCCTTAATTCGAACCCAAACAAGAATAACTCCAGTTGACTCTTTGTCCGTACTTGTTTTACCCTTACTAAGATTTTTATTGTTCGACCAAACATTCAGATGACGATATTTATTATGCGGCAAAATTAGGGAATTATGCCATCATGGTATTTTTCCTACGTTTTTCTTCTTAGTTGATGACGTTCAATTAATAATCAAATTCAGCTTTTTCGAAATAAATTTGTCGAAATCGAATCTGTCGATGGCGAAAAGCACTTGATCCATTCGTAAAATTAATGGAAAGATATTAGGCTGCTGTCTAACTTGCGGCCCCTCATCTGGGAAAATATTAAATCAGTTCAAGAAACCGTGAACTCTTCTTTTTCCTCTGAAAGTTTATTTGAAATTTGCTTATTCGATTTTAGTCGATAGGAGAAAAATGATGATCCTAAGAAGTGTTCAAGTCCAAAAAAGGAATTCTAGTGGTGAGAAAACAGCATTTTGCCCAACATAAAAAAGGGAGCAGAAACCGCCATTGATGTAATTTTTGGGGCGTAGACAAGTAACGCCGATGGGATTAAAATGCAAATTTGGTAGAACCATAAACTGCTCGATTCGCTGAAGAGATAATTCTGAGGTCGAGCGGCGGCCGCGGTATCCCAAATTTTGGAATTCTGGAGCACCATTCTTTCGCGAAGCAACGTAACAACTTTTGTTCTCGAATAGCCCCCTCTCCGCCAGCTTGGACTTGGAATCCTTATGATTTGAAATGATCCCCTTGAAGCCTTTAATTTGAAACGCCTGTCTGATTAGAATGCGAAATTGACTTCAGGAAGCGACTGTCATTTTGATAATGTGATTTTTGACAGTATTTCTTCGCCTCTGATATGGTCTCATGGAGGATAGACCAATGAATTAAGATGAGATAAAAGTTGCTGGAACTTTTCTTCAGAATTTTCAAACAAAAGCGTATGAAGCATTTTTTCTTTATTCTGGTGCAACGATAAATGAGTTCTTTCAGGAAAGAACACTTAGTTGTAAACCTTGTAAACATTCTCATCGGAGAACTTTGCGCGGCAGCTAGGACAGTCTTTCTCAGGAAGCTTGGAGATGCAGTTGAAGCAGGCTTTGTGGCCGCATGGGATGATCACAGCTTCAGGATGATCGTTGTCGAAGGGAAAGAAGCAGACCTTGCAAGAAGGCTTTTCGTTGTCTTCATTTTGCTTCTTCTTCTTTGCTTCTGGTTCATCTTAATCAAAAGAGAAATAACAGGGTCTCCGTTTCTTTGTTACCTGAGTCACCGACTGTAGCTTTCGTCACAATGAGAACTCGTTTTTAACTTTTCCAAAGAATGTATCAGCAGCAATTTTATTTTGCTTTTCAGTTTGGATGTCCTTTTCCGCATTTTCCACCTTTTTCTTGCATTTGCCAGGAGTTTTTCCAGGTCTCTTAGTTCCCTTTTTGCATCAGTCAGTTTATCTTCAGCCTCGTAGATTTTGTCCATAGCGGAGTTTCTCTCTTTTCGTGCATGTTCTAGGATTTTGTTGACCAGTTGATGCTCTTCATGAATACCGTCATCATCACAATGATAATAATCTATAATTGATAATTATGAAGCGCAATCATAGACATCATCCTCTGAAGAGCCTCCTAGACTTACAAGTATCATTACCAGGATCACTCTTCAATGCAGTTTCACAGCAAACACCAATCGCACACTCTCGATATGAAAGGTTGTCCGCAGAACAGGCTCTTTCGCGACATTTGAATGTTGCATCCGACTCTTGAAATTCGGCTGAAGATTTCGGCTGCTTCTCATTCTTGCAGTCCTTGCAATATCTTTTTCCTCTTATGCAAGCAGTTTCTTCAGATGCACTTTAATAATATCAAATAAATATAATATTCAGTTTAAAAAAGGGGACAAACTTTTCACAGTTGTCGCACTTTCCAAATTCGCCGTAAGAAACAACATATTCATCCAAATTCATTTTTCTCTGAAGCTAATTTAAAAAAAATATTTTTTTAACTAATAATTCCTTGATAAAACTGCTGACAATAACTTTCAAATTTGACAGAAATGAAAATTCTCTTTTGACCACTCACAGCTCGACTATGTGAGTCACAAAATATTTCCGAAAAGCAATATTTCTATGAAAAAGCCACATGCTTTAAAACTGAGTTTTATTTATGTTTTGAACTTGTTGCTATTTCGTTTTTTCTAAAAATTTCCTGTCTACTTCTACAAAAAAAAAGATAAAGCACATAGTGAAAACACTCTATGCGGATTTCTAATGCAGCTGGTTTTGATGGATCTCCTTGGGATTTGGAGAAGGCGGCAATTTCGCTTTTGTAGCAAGTAGATATTGAACCGTGCCAATTTCGCAGCTGAAAGGACGTCATTTGCCAGAAGGTTACGCTTCGAGTTTATTCTTCCGCTCTGGCTCCGAAAGCGACTTCAGATGCTATATTTTCGCGCTTTTTAACGCAGCGGTCACTCGAAGTTGGAATCTGACCACGTGATTCTGTGATTGCCTTTTAGCGAAAATATTATTCCCGCCGCAAATGTTTCACCCTTTATCGGTAAACATTAACAACCGCTTGATCTCGTTGAACAAAATAACAAGGTGAAAGATGGAAAATAAGGGATAATTCTAAAAAATCAATCATCCTACTCTTCACGCTGGAAAAATGGTTGACTCGAAATTGAGCTGAGCTGAGCTCAAATCAGACTGAAAATTATTGAGCTGAGCAGAGTTGAGTTAAGCCTGCCGAGCTGTGATAAAAACTGAGCAGCTTAGTCTGAGACCAACATTTCCTCAGAATTTCTTAGCTGAGCTGAGCTTAGCTTGCTAGAAACTGAGCCAGTTGATTCAATTGAGCTGATTTTCTGTGCCACAAATGAACTGAGCCGAGCAGACTTTCTTCCAAATTATTGAGCTGAGCTAGCCGAACTGGGCTAAGCTAGGCTACGCTGAGCTGGCTCATTTCAAAGGACGACTGAGCTGAGTTGAGGTCAGTTTCGGCTCGAATTCGCTGAGCCAATAAGTCGCCTAGCTCAGCTCAAAAAACAATTCTGAGCTCAGTTTTAGCTTATAAAATTGAGTCTTTTCGAAGAATTTTTGATAAAGAAAAAATTATATTGAAAAGTTTTCAATTTGAAAAGGGAGTGTCCGCCTGACTCAAATCCGAGCTTGCGGGGATTATGCTTTTGCAAGTTTGTTGAAGTAACGTGAACTTGAAGCGCCAAATAGAAAAAATGCAGCTCATTATCAAGCAATTGGCTTTGCCGGCATGCTTGACCATGGACAGTAAGGTAAGCGAGTTAGCGAACACCATGACCGTGAGCAGGGTTCTAAATTTGACGCAAAATCTGAAAGTCTAGTCTGTCCGTGTCCGTGCCCTCCGACAAAATCCCAAGTCTAGTCTATCCGTGTCCGGATCGAAAAAACGGATTTTTGTCCGGTCTAGTCCCGGACATGTCCGTTTTAGTCCGTTTTTGTCCGTATAATCCGGACATATTTTTTTTAAAGAAAAAGTCTGGTCTAGTCTGTCTTGTCCGTAAATGTCCGTAAAATTTCATGGGAAAAACTAATTTTTATCGAAATAAACCCGAGAAGACCAAAGAAAAATTATTTACAAATAAATTGGACAGACAATACATCGAAAAATCGAGTTCTTCTCAAGACAATTTTACAAGATCAAGGGACTGGCCTGGGACAAGAGAGGGTTAATGAGCGACTGCTTTTTTTCAGAAGAGGCTAGGCTCAGCCCAAAGACTTTATCAATTTGCTAGCTTAGCTCAGCATCAGTTGGTTTAAACAAGCTCGTCTCGGAATGGATAAAAATTTATTTGAAGAGAAGTGAATGATTTTCTCGTGTAAGAGAACTGTCTTTTTGAAGGTGTCAAACTAGAACTTTCAAAACGATTTTTTAGTTACGACTCGTAGCCTACGAGCTTTTTGAAGCTGACCTTCGAAAATTTCTCAAAGCTGAGCTAAGCTGTATGAAAATATGCTAAACCGAGCTGACCTTGCCTTTTCTTGATGTCAGCAAGCTGGGCTGAGCAAACGCCTTTTAGAGCTGGTGTTATCCATGCTGACTAAAGCTGGCTTTGTGAAGGAAATCATTGGTCTGAGCTGAGTTCTCTCGAAATGATAGAGCTAAATAACTGAGCGGCTAGCCCGCCCGCTGACCTGGCCTCGGAATCCTGTAAACAGGAATAGGGATTTTATTTTTTGGCCCATTTGCAAAACAGGAAACAGGACCTGTTTCAGGTTTTTAGACAGGTCAGAATTCCGAGGCCAGCCGCTGACCCCTCTACACCTTGAGCTGGCTTTTTCCGAATATTGCTTCAGCTCAAGCTGAAAGATTGCTAATTTCACTCAGCTCCAGGGCTGTTGATTTCGAGTCCTTTCAAATTACCCGCGACTTTTTTCCGGGTAACCCGCGAGTTTTTACGCGTTTTTACGCTTCACAATAATTACTCGGGCTGCCTTATCTTAGGTGAAAATATTTTTGTGAGATTAATTAACACCTAAATGGTTTTTTTAGTCGCGGGTAATCCGAAAGGACCCGGAATCAACAGCCTTGCTCAGCTCAATAAATTTGCAACACTGGCAAATTAGGACTCGCAATTAATTAGCGGAACAATGAAGGACCTAATATTCTATATTTAACCAATTTTCCTTGAGACTCGGTCCTCAAAGTTCCGGCTTGACAACTTCAAAAAGACTTATTTATTAAAAATCATTATCGATATTTTCCGGCAAAAAATCAAAAATTTTGATATTTCTTAATTTTTAACTGACAACCTGGCTTATTCTAACGAAAAATCACATTGGTTCAAGACGAATTCGAGCTCAAATCGTGCGTTTTTACGGACTTTTTCGGATTCTGCCCGGATTTTACAGACACGGACAAAAGTCTGGAGTTGTCCGGATTCCACGGACGGATACGGACAAATACGGATTTTGTCCGGATCGTGACGAAAGTCCGGTCTAGGCTGTCCGTTTTTCCTCAACCAAAAGACTAAAAGTCTAGTCTGTCCGTACGGATAAGACCGGACAGACACGGATAAAATCCGTACACGGACATGTCCGTTTAGAACCCTGACCGTGAGATGAGCTGTTTTAATCAGAAGTGTTCGAGTAAGCGATTGCATAAGTTGTAACTTGTCGACAAAGATGACACTCTGTGAATCGAATAATTCTGCGGCGTGTAAAGCGGATAGCTCTGTTCTCGTCTGGCAGACAGTCCGTTCAACATCACCGCGAAATTGGGAGACAGCAAATAGAAGCCGTTTTCTAACCGAAGAAAATTTGTAATTTCGTGTTTCAAATTTTCATGAAATAACTTCAAAATCCTCTTTTCATTCAAATAAGAGGCTTTTTGAAACATTTTCTTTTTGCTCAAGTACTGTTTCTAAAAATAGACGCTGGAAACTTGTTCCTGTTCTTGAACTCAGTCAAACCCTGCTCATACTGGTAGTCAGGAACAGTTCAAGCGCATTTCGTAAAATACGGAAACGTGACATTGGCTGTGACCACAAGATAATCCTAGAGATATGGCGGTTTGCATTCGCCATTGACCGCGGTATAAGCATGGTCAACTTATTTAATAAGCTCAAACTAAGCCTCGGTCACTGAACAAACTTACCATTCGGACTTTCTTCTTTCTAAAAAATGATAGTTCTGTCGATTTATTTTTCGATTTACAAATTAACCACCTCGAAAAGTGTAATTTCCAAAACAATCGCAAGCGTAAAAATTCAGCTCTTCTATGAAAAAGTGCTCTTTAGAGGGCAACTCTAATTACTATCAGTTTGTTTTTCATTTTCAAATTAACAAAGCGCGAATAATGTAATTTGCATGAAATTCTCAAACAAAGAGAAGAATCGCTCTTTCGTCAAAAATGACTTCAAACGAAAGTGCGAAAGTAGCATCGAGAATAGTGGGATTTGCGATTTGAGCTGAAGCTAGAAAATTAAATTTATCAATATGTTTGTTTGGCTCAATTCGCTCGTGCCAGCTCATCTCAGCTTCTGCTGGGCGTCACGTGGCTGATCCAGTTAATTGACAAACGTAAAGTGTTTAGCTTTTGAACAAACTTGGCGAGTTGTTTGCGCCGCAGATGCCCGGCCTTCCAATCATCCCCGGCCTTGTTTGAAAATGAAAAGCCACTCGAAGCAGCTTCCGTCGCGTTTATTACGCCAGCTTTTACTTCTCAGTCATAATAATCAAACTAAAGACATATTCAATCATCTCGATCCTTTCCTCCCTGGCCCTCCTTTTTCTGCCATTTCTACTGTCGCTGCAAGAAAAAAGCTGCAATTGGAACATGTTTATTATCAACAATTTCACTCATTGCCCTTCCATTAACATCTTTAATTTAATAAATGACGCCCTAAACAAACACAAATACCAATTAAATAACTTCATAAGAAACGTTCCCGAGAAAACGCCAAAATTTTTGCCAAAAACTGAAATTATTATTTTTCAAAAAAATATTTAAAATTAACGATTTTTCAATAATAAATTACAAAAAACTTCTTCAGTTATGGTTAGGGTTAGGGTTAGGGTTGGGTTGGGTTTAACCAATCAACGGAAGTGATCTTATAGATCAGGTTTTTGATTGGCCGGTACGCCAAATTAAGCAATCTTATTGGTAATCCAAAAATGCGCTTCCATAAATTGGTTAAGTCCTTAGGGTTTGGGCAAGAGCATTCACGAGTTCATTAATTAAATAGCAGCCTTGGATAATCCAAGTCCTGCTACCAGAACTGTATGTACATTGTGCAGCCTTGTTTGGAATTTTTGCAAAATATTTGGTCGTCCGCTCTTTCTCAGGTTCCTGTAAATCACTAGGTTAGCCGATCTTGTCTACGTCACAACTTTTTGGCACGTGATTTTCAGTGCCTCTCGCCTGTTAAACTTGCTGCCTAGATAAGAGAGCTCGGCCCAGAATGCGTTCGTTAAATAACAAAAAGTACCACGTGAGTGGAGGAAATGACCTGAGTAGCGTCAACCTTGTTTCTAGAGTACAAAAGGAAGTCGCTTGATTATTTTGGCCTTTTTTTAACTCATTGAATATGCGCAAAAATGAGCGCTACTCTTATTTGTTCTGATTTTCACTTCCTTCAATGCTTATTTTCATCCTAGGGTTTGTTCAGTTTTGCCCCCGAATAGAGCTTAAAATCGCCTAGGCTGAGTTCAGGACCGCGATCAGGAGAACTGCAACTTATGGTCGGATTACTGAGTCTGCTTGTAATTGGATTGAGCATCTTTATAACGTGAAAATATTATTTTTCTTCTTGGCAAATGAATCTGGCGAGATCGAAGTTTGTTGTTTGCGTGACGAAGTTATGAAGCAAATAAAAAATGAGTGGCAAACAATGCAAGATCCCGTCCCGTGAATTTTTGGAAGAGAAGCTTGAAATAGAAATGGATTTAAGGGGTTCAACTTTTTGAAAAGAAATAAAGGTTGTTCGTAAAAAAAGATGATTTTTCGTTGACCTGAGCTTTGAAAACTAAGCTAAAAGGATTTTGAAAGTTGAACTCAAGGCTAGTCATTTTGAAAATAACGAACAAAGAAGGCGAAAAGAAAATGTCTGGGTTGACGTGCGGTTTTAGCAAAATTATCCGAAGCTGGTGGAACAAACAGGAGCGGATTTTCCCCGCAGCTGGGCCCTTCCGAATTCATCTCGTTTTTTAATAAGTCAACAGTTTTCTGCGGAGATGGACCCCTGTTAGTGTAAATCCGCAAGAAGGAAGCTGTAGTAACCACAAATAGTTCTCTAGTACCGGGTAATAAGAGTTCTTTTACTGCTAGAAGAATTTTGTTTCCACAAGTCTATTTTTTCTTAATGATCTCAATGATCTGTACTCATCGAAAATGTTCAGACGAAAAACCTCACCCACAGAATAACCTTTCCATGGAGCTGCCGGAAGGGGGCTCCGCCTGGATAAGGAATAGGAAGGGATATGGAATAGACCGATCTCTACGCACTTTCATTGAAAAACCATAATCATGAGAATTTTTGTTTGGAAATAAATTTTTCGGTAAATTAAAAATCGAGCTAGAGTAATTAAACATGAAACAATGGTTTTCTCCAATAAAATCAGCTACCTAATGCAGCCACTCTGACCATAATTTATCATAAAATCGTCGATTCCGAGTTTTGATCGACCAAAAAGTTCATGAATCGAACTCATACGAGTCATTACTTCCACCCGGAATTGACGACTTCAGCTTTTAAAAAAACATTCGTCACATCAATGGCGGGTCAATTGAGCTATTTTTTCGATCGCATAAATTATCGTTTTCTGCTTATCCCGCTCAGCATAGTTAACCTCGACGAGTGCGATATGCAATCGGTCGACCTAGCCTGGGACAACTCGGCCGCCAATTACCGACTTGCATTTGAAAACGACGAGACAGACGATGACGTAAGTCACTTTTAAAGAGAGTCCCATTTTGGAAGTCCTTCGTTTCCGGCTCTATTTAGAGTCAGACCATTGACGAAAAGGAGGTCTGACGAGGAGACTGCTCGCTACCGTATCATTTGGGTTTACGCGGTCCTAAATAAATCCGGATGTCTTTCTTTGACTCCGTTTTTAGAACAGCGGGATTTATCTTCGATTCGCTCCATTTTAGAGATATTTTCTTATGCCTGGATGTCAACGAGAAGGCAAAATTACAGTGCCTCTTTTGCTTCTCGTTACTTCTAGTCATGGCAGAACTATTCATTTAGAAAATCACGCCTTCTACACTACAAGAATTTATCATAATTCCGTTCAAATTAACAAGCAAAGCTGAAATGATCAGATATCATTTGTTTTGCGAGTAGTTTTGCCTTGTTTTGCCTTGCGCAATTATGATGAATTTCTGCTTGCGTAGAAGTCGTGATATTTTTTATGACTAGTTCTGATATGACTAGCTGCTACGATAAGGCTTCTTTCGTTATTATGATAAATTATCGCTTTGAAATACAGTAGTAAAATAATTTTAAAAAGGGAATAAACTGTAGTTTGCCTTGAGATTAAATCGTAGGTACAGTTGTAAACGGTAAAGGATAGAATGATTTTCGTCCTTGATCCCCCGCATGGGGGATTTGACGGAGTGATAACGTTGGAATAAAGTAAACTTAGAATGATAAAAATAAAAGTTGATTGAATGAGATTAAGCTAACTTGACTCAACCACGGGGTTTTCTAAAAAGGACTTCAGAGAGAAGAAACAGTTCTACGCTTTTATCAGATGTTTTCACTATCACGTGGTATTCTAGGACCTTATCGCTCGAGATGGAAGCCGCGGAAGTAAACTCCGACAAAGTTTGCGCTCGGCCTCGCGAAAAGTTAACAAAACGATTCAAGCGGCTAAAGACCTGGTCAAATGACCCGTTCTTCTCCCTTATCAGCTGTTTCTCATGTGACCTTCTATCTTTCTATCTGTCTGTTTATGCTCTTAGAATAAACTTCCCTTACTTTTTCGACATAGATTTAGCTAGAAATTCACTGTAATTTCTTGATATCAATTATTTTTCCCGCGAAAATGCGCAATTAATCAATTTACCGGCTACTTAGTACTAAGTACCGGCAAAAAGAGCAGATGGTGTCAAGCAAAGTCTCTCTTTTGCATGTTTTGTTTGCATTCAAATAGATAATCTAATTTCCCTGTTTTACTTTTATACTGAAAACAAAGCGCCATGCTTACCCCGGATCACAAAGCGAAACTTAGTTCGGATCTACCATTCGAATAACCAGTCAAAGCATGGTCAATTTCGACACAAAAGTTTCACGAAAAAGAAATGCAAATTGAGAGCTGCATATGAATTAAATTTCCCCAAACAGGCTAGCAGACGACATTGACTCATATTGTTTTTGAACAGCCTTCTGATCTTAGCTTGATCTTCGTTGGAATATTTTCAAACTAGAAGCTGTTTCGTGAATTATTTTTCATAGAAAAAGATTAACTAGGAAATCTCTTGTTTGTGTCTAGCAGACTTTCTAAATAGATATATCCTGATATAGTACTTACTACCGCGATTCTCGGTAAAATACCGGCTGAGAATCGAGAAGCCGCTTGCGGCTTCGAGTAAAAAAGCGTAAGCCGCGCAAAGCGCGGCTTTTTCGTCTCATTTTTCTCGAAGCCGCGAGCGGCTTCTCAATTTTCTACCGGTGTTTAACCTCAGAATCGCGGTAGAATACGGTCCAAGTTACTGGTAGACAGATGAAGAAATGCACAAGCCTCAAAAACCCACAGCAGCAAAGAGAGAGCTGGATAGAACATTCCTGAAAGCTGTCAAGGACCACGTCTGGCGGCTGTTTCCGGCTCAGCCGTCGCCAGTCATCTCATCTCGGCATTACTCTAGCACCCTGAGCATCTTATAAGTAGCATGGGAAACGCGTGAGCTCATCCCAGGCTCATCAGAAATAACTTCACCCGAATACGAAAATTTTCACTTTCGCTCTTTTTTCAAAGAAAAAATTTTTCGAGTCAAAATTTTATTGCAGAATTTCTATTTTTGAAAACCATTTGTAAAAAATCTAGTTTAAAAACAGAAGAATTCGAATTTATGCTGAAATTGATCCGTCGGGGCGTTTTGTAGTGGAATTAGAGCTAATGCAAAATCAAGGTTGGGTTGACGAGATTGGCTCGTCAGCGAGCTCACAAGTTATGGTGACTTGGCAGATTACCGGCCTCTGATGCGCTGGTTCTTTCCGGCCCATAAGCTTAACTAGAGTTCAATTTCTATTGAGGTGCGATTTTTATAAGCCGCCCGGGGTTTAGCTGGACAAAGTGGGGGCTACCGGTTGCTCACGGTTTTCTCTTTTCAAAACGGGCAAGAAGGGAAGAAAACTGGGCTCGACAACCTGTGTAGAAACCCTGAGTCAGGTTCTAAAAGAATTTGATTGAAAAGCCGCGTAGCGGCTTTTTAGAAACGAAGCCGCGAAGCGGCTTCGCCATAATTTTAGAAAGGATTGGGAAGATAATTCAGCGAAGCCGCTTTGCGGCTTCGTAGCGGCTTTTCATTTCAATTCTTTTGCAAACTGACTCAGGCTTTCTATACAGGTTTTCGAGCTAAGAAGAAGAAACACTGTATTTCGCCCGAAAAGTCGTTATCCCGGAAGAGCCGAAAAGAGTGAAAGTGTAAATCTTCCGTAAATCAGCAGCATGAAATCGAGTTGAAAAAGTCTCACCCTTCGAGGTGCTTATTTGCGGGTAACGTCTGGATGAGGGGAGCGTCTTAGCTTCTCGGAAGCTGTAGTCACCTTTTTTTGAGCGTAATGCCGAGCGGATTAGCATGTAACAATTTATGCGATTGCGATTTATAAAAACGGCGCTGCCAAGAAATCCGCCCTAAATTCTGTTTTGATCGAAACGCCGAAAACCGCTGCTAGAACGCGTTTATATTTCAGAAAACAATTTTACTTGAAACGAGTAGAAATTGACGAGTGTTTTGTCAATCGTGATTTTGGACGGAGAGATTTAATAGTACCAAGCTAGAATAACTATTTTTAAATTATCTCGATGGAGTTAACTAAAAACAAGAGGTTCATGAATGCAAAAAAATTTAATAGAATAAGGTGGTTTCCAAAAATATATAAAATACAACCAATATTTATTCATCAGAAAAAAACATCATCTTATTATCAAAATGCCTTTTTTAGGATGATTTGGGTTATCGGTCCTAAAGTCGGACAGCCGCTTACCCAGGGGCTACGGTAGTAGGGGGTTATCATTAGGGCTGCCCCTTTAGGCCTAAACCTAACCCCTACGCCTGTACGTTTGAGCCCTCGTCTTGGTTAGGGTTAGGGTCCGTTTCACTGCTACTAGTTGTCGCGAGGGTCGCATTTAGGCGGCAACTAGTAGCAGATGGCACAGGAACTTGGACACTGTTCGCCGCCTTAGGTCTAAGCCTTAGCGTCTAAGGGGGCCCCGGGTAAGAGGCCGGCTGAACGGTAACCCCTATTACAGTCTGAGAATTTTGTTGTTTTATATAAGCTTATAATTTATAAGTTATAAATGTCTCCATTGCTTGTTATTTTTCCTTGTTATTAGACAAAAAGTAATCATAATACGATCGCTCAATGTAGCAATCAAATATAAATCCCAAGAAATTATGATAGTTCCAAAAAACAATCGTGATCACAAATAACTGGATTAAAATTAATTCTTGTAATTTACCAGGGATCATGATAAGATCCGGAAATATTAATTTGATACAAACAAAAAGAGTTCAATTGAAATGTACGATTTTGCTTAGAAATTTAGCATTGACTTGATTTATTTAATAATAAATTCGATTCTGAAGTCGCTTTTGTTTTGCGCAAACATCGTTATACAAAAGTAGCAGCGTTGTCTCCAGTAAGTGGAATCAGCAGAAACGCCGGGCGGCAGTGGTCGGTAACGTTCGCCGTTAGCAACATAGGGGGCACGCATAATCGTGAAAGCTCTCTATCGATCACGGTGCACCCCTACAAGCGCGCGCGTGCTTCGACTCGCGCGCGCCACCTAGACCGCTCCGCGCTGCTCAGGTGGCACTCGCGGGCGCAAAAATGGCCCATCCAACTTGCGCCATTTTCGTGATCTCGTCATCCTCCCTTTTGAGAAGAACCGATAAGTCGGCCAATACGTTCCGAATCCAACGTGTACATTTTACATTCAATTTCATTTTTAACAACTTTTTTTTAAATTAAAAAAACATTTTTTTAAAAAAACACAAAAGAGATTTTTTAAAAAGAAGAAGAAATCAGAAACAAAGAAGAATCCAATTTTTATCAATTTTTTGATAAGAAAAAATTTCAAAGAAATCGGTAAGTTAAAAACCCAGAGTTCGAAAATCGACTGAGAGAAAATAAAACGTAATAATCATGTTGGAATGCGAGCAATTTCCAAATTTCCCGCTGATGAAAAAAAAGTTTAATATGTTATCAACCAGCGCTGGAATTTTGGTATTACATGCGCCAGATTTTCACTCTTTTTATTTCTCATTAGAAATAAAATCGAGTCATTTTGAAACGAACATACCGTCCTGCCCCCTTCTATTGGAGACAATGTGGCTGTGTTTTGCCATAACTTGTTGAGCCATTAAGAAAGTTTTGCGAATAGACAATTTAATTTAATCTAATTTCGTTATATGACAATAGCAAAGAAGCTTAGGGGTCGGGGAACAATATTGTCAATAATCAAAGATTGAGATTATTTAATTAAATGATCATTATTACTATTGCATACCATTATTATTATACCAGTATTTTTTGTCTAAAAAGCAAAGAAGGGAAAATGTGAAAGACACTTGAAAAGCCGGAAATTCGAACTTTATAATAGTATTTCTATAGAATAGGAAGGAGGTCTCTGCGAATGCTATGATTGAGCTTTGAGCTTTGTTTAATGCACCTAAGCCTTCTTAAACTTAGTGCAAGTCCGGATTTACGGCAGTAACTTCAGCTCACGGCCGAGTTCAAGGTTTGTTGGGCGCGTTCTATTACCGGCCCGTGGGTACTTTGTATCTTCTAAGGGCTCTAGAATTATTCGGAGAGGCGTGCCAGGTGGAGATCACTCTTCGTCAATGTCTTAAGGGGCTACCTTTCCTAGAAAGTAATTAGAAAATATATTGCTTGAAACTGTCTTTTGAAAAATTTTCCATCTTTAATTTCAGTGTAAAATTACAGACCTAGCAGTTCCCGTGCCCCTCTCTCTAACTCCTGGATCTTGCAAGTTAAGGGTCCAGCTACTCATAAGATCAAGGCGAGCACTCGATGAAATTATGAAAAATCCCCTCTCGTCCAAAATTTGGCTAAGCCAAAGTGGTACCGCAACCTGTTGCGGATAAAAGCGCCGCCTCTAAGTGAACTCCAAGTCCCCAAGATTTCAATACTGAAGTTTCCCGAAAGAGAAAGCAGGGAACGAGGGATGATTCAAATTTGTATAATACAGCGTTCAGACCAACGCAATTATTTACATCGAGATCGCTCGGTGCTCCGCGGCCGACCAAATAATATATCACACAAATTCAAAATATTTTAATTGCTCTCCTTATTCACCAAAGCTCAAGGGGGGTTAATCCGTTCTTCCGCCCTTTCTTTTACGATATTCTTGCTCGAAAAGAAAACTGTCTTTATCTAGCCTTTATGACAATTCCTTTGACATAATCCTTAAGGGTGTCAACATCGATTTTGCCATTTTGCCTCGGTCAATGTTGACACCCTTAAGGGGGCCCCTAGCGATTTTTCCGAAATTGGCCATTTTCGACTGGCGCTCAAAAATCGAAAAAATCGTGGGGGACCCCCTTAAGACAAAGTTGTCAAAGAACCAGTTTTATTAAATTCTAAGCTGATTATGTCCGTAATATCGAATTGGAATAGAGCTGGTAATTAGCGATTTCTGAATGCGTAAAGGCTGTCAAGCAATTTCGCCACCCTTGCATAAATTTTCCCCTCTTTTGACCTAGAAACGTGAATAAAATTCAAGCGCATTTTTGAAATTTTGTCAATTTCAACTCAACAAAAAAGCGGAAGAAAGCGAAAAGAAGCTAATCACCTGCACGAGTAGTTTGGGTATTTGGGCTTAGCAGGCGGTACCTCCGAACTTGGCGTTTTAACGGAAGGAAAATTTTCTCTAAAAATTTATACTCTGGAAAGGAATTATAACTAGCACTAGAATACCGTTAGGTTCTAAACCGCTTAGTGATATTTACCAAATGAACAGTTCTGCTACTTCCGAGGCCAAAAAATAACGAGCCGGAAATGCCCGATCTTTTAATGACCGAATGGCGACATTTTTTTCGTTTCTTGCTGAATCGCAAGTTCCTTTTTTACGAATGCTAATCGTCCCAGCCTCTCGACTTTGCTATTTCCGCCGACTTGGACCGCTAAAGAACAAATTATCTTTGTGTACTTTTGGTTAGCAAGTTGAATGATAAAGGAAGAGCGGAAAATGTCACAGGAAGATTTGACGTATTATCATGAAATTTTGATGTTTCTCGGTTGACGTTTCCATTTTACTCAATCAAGGGCGGCTATCAGGGGAAGTGTTCGGCCTCTGATAAATTATGAGTACCGGAGAGTACAAAAATAGGCGAAGAGAGGGGTTATCCTTCGAGCTATCCAATATCTCTAGAATCTGGGATAGTGGTTAGGGTAAGGCCCTAACTTAGGGACTGGGAACTCTTAAGAGCCCCCTGGGTTAGGTTTAGGGTTAGGGGTTGCTCAAATGATAACCCCACACTACCAAAATAGGGGCTCGGTTAACTGCATGAAAACCTAACCCTAACCAAAACTATGGAGGAGGTCCAAAAAATAGCCGCGGAGCGGCTTTTTTGATAACGAAGCCGCGGAGCGGCTTCGCCGAAATTGCAATCTGAATCATATTACTTCAAGATTTTGAAATTTTTGCCTTTGAGACGGTAAAATAAGGGTATCGCTTTGATTGTAAACTTAGTGAGAAAATTTTTATGCTTGAAAATCGAGTTCAACCCCCCTTTTTGAAGAAATTCTTGTTAAAAAATGAAGACGATGCGCAATTATTCTTATAGATAATGCATGTAATTGGCTTATGAATACGAAAAGAATTTCTTTAAGCTGTGATTAAGCTTTAAGCTGTGAAAAGATTATGAGTGCGTTGAGCGCGATTTACGTTGCGTTAGCTGTTCTGAACTGCGACGCAATGACCGCAGAGCTGTCCCAAGCTGGGCAGCGCGTTGACAACTTCGCAATGATTCTTTTGATCCCTTCTTTGCATTTTTGAGATAATTTCTTCTATAAAACAAGAGAGAGTTAGGGTCGAGAAATTTCAAAGAGACCACTAATTGAAAATTTGAAAATCTGGCGCCGGCCACTCCCACGTGACAAATCTTATTCAGCACTTTCATAATTCAGACTCTATTTGGATTATTTATTATTTCAAACTTTCGTAAAAATGGACAGTTATAACATCAGTTAATTCAGAGAATCAAAAATCAGATAGCCCTTTTAGTAGCTTCCCCCGCGTACTTCCGAGCTAATAAATATTTCAGATTGGGGCAGATTGGGCCGCATGAAGTAAAACGAAAATAACCAATCGACACCACTACTAGCCCATCTTCTTTCTCCCAAGAAAACAGACGAACAGCAAGACAGGAAAAGCTAAAAAGCCAACAAAAACACACATGCCGTTTCCAACGGCGCAGCAGGTCCTGCCGGTCCTGCCGAAGCCGCAAAATGGACCGGGTCGAAATGGACCCGCTTTGTCGGCGATCGAAGACAAGGAAATGAAGAAAAAGCTGAGGAACAGAGAATCTGCTCTTGCAGCGCGAGAACGAAAGAAGCAAAAGATGCTAGAGCTCGAAAGAAGAGTTGCTGAACTTTCCAGGAACAACTCAATTCTCAAAATGGAAAATTGCGCTCTAAGGGGCACGCTCACGTCGGTTATGCAAAAGTAAGTCGCTTATTCATATTTTTTAGAATTTTTATTCGACATGAAAAAAAGTTCGGCAATAGAGTTCCTGACCTTTCAAAAATTATTTTTAATTTTTTTATTTTATTTTTAATTATTTTTTTTTTAAATTAAATTTTTTTTCAGACTTTTCTTTTTGATCGGATACCCTTATTTTAAGTCTTATGTAAAAGCTAACCCTCTAACTTATAGACACCCTTAATTTTTAGTCCGTAAGGTTCTTGAAAAAGTTCGAATTACAGCTTCTTTTCTGAGCGTTGCGATTCTCCAATTCCCCCTTTTTCCGACTGAGAGGACGTAAAAACGCATGCTGATTTTTGGCTTGGTTCCCAGCGTCTGCGGTTGAGCCTCCCTAACTGCACATTTTCGCCAAAAGCAAACGTCTTGATAACAGGGCAACTCAGCGTGCGTTCAACGGAGCGCGCCATTTGCGTAACAATGAGTTGTCATGAGAAGCATTTAAAAAAAGGGCTGAAATTTAAATTTGTCATTTTCGCAATTTAGCATTTTTTCTGAGAAAAAAAGTTCAAATGAACTGATTTTGTACTTTTTTCTTTCGCCCATGTTTAGTGTTGTAGAATTTTCCCATCTCCTTGCTTTTGTGTTAAACATTTGGGAGTCGCCAATTAATTTATCGTGTAGTGAATAACTTTCACCTCGCCCTCGTGGTCTTGCTTTGAACAGGCTTCCAAAACGTGTTGAAACTAATTAAACCGAAAAGCACCAAACTACCCATTTTCAACTTCCTAGCAAGAATGTAGCTAATTTGATGGCCTGTAGTTTGAAATAAAACATTCCCGCGGTCGCAAGAGAGGCTGAAATGCAATTTTCGCCCGGTAGAATATCAAATCTTCTGAGAAAAAGCAATTTATACTGAACGCTAAGTAGCGCACCCGGCCCGATACCAAAATATTCAAGTGACTTGGTTAGTCTCTTTTGGGTAATGTGAAAACCATAATTTGCGAAATAACACCCGCTATCTTGCCGGAGCTCAATTTTGAACGCTCAATTTTCATAATTTTGAACCTTTTCCTTCTGGGCTCGGCAACTTGTGTAGAAAACCTGATTCAGGGTCTGGAAGATCTTCAATGAGAAGTCGCGTAGCGGCTTTTTTGAGAACGAAGCCGCAAGGCGGCTTCGCAAAAAATATTTTTCATTCAATTTACGAGTTTTGGCGAAGCCGCTTTGCGGCTTCGTTTTCAAAAAAGCCGCTACGCGGCTTTTCATTTGAGATCTTTCACACCCTGACTCAGGTTTTCTACACAGGTTGCCGAGCCCAGTTTTCCTTGAACCTTACTTTTTTATAACGAGAGATTGTGACCTCCTCTACCCATGTTGTCAATATTTTTAGTACATGTTTTTGTAACATCATATTTGTAGATACGGCGCCCAAAAGTCCGAGATCGATGAAACCCTGAGGTTAACGGAGAACGTCACAATTAAGAAGGAAGTGCTCGAGACCAAGCCGGTCATCCAGGTAAGATCCAGACTGTTTGTTCAACGAAGACTAACCTGAAATTGCTAGAAACCCGCCGCTCCAAAGCGAAAAGCGGCCGTTCCAGTCGTCATCAAGCAAGAAATAGACGCTGGATTCTCCGAGCCTTGCGAGTCCGATCCACCGCCAATCAAGCTGCCAAAAGTCACGCTTACGACTGGCACGCCAACAACTGCCACGACGACAGCGACAGTAAACGGTAAAGTCATCCGCAAACAAGTGGTGCTGGCGTTCAATCCCTTCAAACTCGGAACTGCGAATATAAAGCGCTGCCAAATCGCGACTGCGGCACCAAAGACGACCACAAGCGAGCAGCCTATTTCGATTCATCAAAGCAGCCACACTTTGAATGGCCACAATAGTCGAGTGCAGCCGGTGGCGCGAAGGATGGAAATGTCAAACGCTGGCTCGGGCGAGCAGCGGGTAAGTCCAGTCATCGCCACCGCGCAAGTCAACCTGGACAAGCTCCAAGCGCAGGGCGCGCAGATCCAAGCGCACAAAACAGCAACTCCGAACAACCAGCAGGTCAAACAAGAGCCCGACAATCAGCCTCAGATCTCCGCCGGCCACAACAATCAGAACAACAACACCAACTTCAACAAGTACCACGAGACTCCTCAAACTCTCGAAATCGAGTCCCTCAAATCCCTCGAAAAGGGGATTTGCTCTAGAACACACGGACTAACGGGTTTTAGGTTTGACGGGTCAGATGTGGGAACGCCCGAGCACGCCTCCTCCCCTTCGACGAGCAGTGAAAGGTAAAAACAAAGTGAATTTTAATAAAATCAAATGATGGGAGCTAGAAAAAACCGTGTAGACGTGTCAGCTTCGTATATTTTGAGTCAACAAGCTTAGAGAGCTTCATCAATTCCAGCTCAATCTCAACTTTTCTCCCAATCTGGGCTCGGCAACCTGTGTAGAAAACCTGAGTCAGGGTCATAAAGAAGAGAAATGAAAAGCCGCGCAGCGGCTTTTTTAAAAACGAAGCCGCGAAGCGGCTTTGCTAATATTTCCATTACAAACTATCAGAAATTCTGGCGAAGCCGCTTCGACGTGCTTTTTTTAAGGTTAACGAAGTTTTCCAGCCCACTTCCGGCTTATAAACCCCAGAACACCATACCTTTTCAGAATCAGCAGAAAATTTCAAGAATTTTGACCCTTTAAAATTCTAGAAATCTCCACTTCCGGTCGATTCTAGAGCCGGAAGTTGACGAAATTTTCGAATATGTATAAAGTGTGACCCATCAAATTGATGCTCAGAAGATTCTGAGTCATCTCATTATCGATTCATTCAAAGAAACAAATCCAACCGCGGTCAAACCGACCGCCAAAACTACGAAAATATGCATTGATTTATGAATTTTTTTTTCAGTTTTAAGCGTTTGATTTCACCGTGACCGGGATTGATTCTTCTCTAAGTTGATAGGGAATCTTCTGAGAATCAATTTGATAAGCCACAAGTTGCCCATACTCCCAAATTTCGTCAACTTCCGGCTCTAGAATCGACCGGAAGTGGAGATTTCTAGAATTTTAAAGGGTCAAAATTCTTGAAATTCTCTGTTGATTCTGAAAAGGTATGGTGTTCTGGGGTTTATAAGCCGGAAGTGTGCTGGAAAACTTCGTTAACCTTAAAAGTCTTCGCGGCTTCGTCTTTTAAAAAAGCCGCTGCGCGGCTTTTCATTTCTCTTCTGTATGACCCTGACTCAGGTTTTCTACACAGGTTGCCGAGCCCAGCTCCCAATAGTTTGTACATACTCAATCTAAAAACGCCTCTTTCTTTTGGGAATTCTAGTCATTTTTGCAATCACAAAGGTGTAGAGCTGTTTTGAGTCAAACAATCTACAGGGACTTTTTCTTTAATTACACTCATATTTTGACGGCAATTAAAGTTTCTTCCCGATATCTTTTTAGAGGTTAAATTTTGGAAACAATTTTGGCTGATTGAATAAAAAATAATTGCCGACCGGTAGAGTGAACTTTTCAACCACGTAAGACACCTCTAAAAGACGGATAAACATATGAAAGCAATGCATTAGAAGCTCGGAGCCGTTGCCGAGCCGTAAAAGGGATTAGAAAACGTGGCTAGAAATAGCAGGCGATGAGCTCGGGGTTGAACGCGGGATCACCTTTTGCAGTCTTCTGCCACCTGGGGTGAACGAAGAGAACGCTCTCTCCAAATGCCAATTCTAAAGGGATTTTCTAGGGCGGATTAATTTCTCCGAGAGTTGAGAAAAATTAAACAGACAACTTTCTAATTGATCTAATTTCTAATTTCTGCTTTAATCAATCGTAGCTACCGCATCTGGCGGCTTTCTTGACATTTATCTGACGTTCGTATTTTCAGTGTCTACGTCTATCAGCCGGTATCTCCCCTGTGGTCTGCCTCCGGCTCGCCGGCGTCCGATTCTGCCTATTCCGGATCTGGCTCTGAAACAACACCGAGCCACCGCTCCAATTCCGGCATTGGCTCTGAGCTAAGCCCGCTCAAGTCGCAGAGCTTCGAGCTTGATCAGCTGTCGCAAGTAGACACGATGGTTTCAAACGGCTCCTGGTACGAGCCTCCTCAACCTCAGGAAAGGATTACCCACTGTTCTTCCGGAAAGGCCATTTTCCATAAACCCGCTCGATCGGGGCGTATACCCTTAATTTCTTCCCATTTCAGGAGGCTTAAATTTAGCGATATTCTCTCATCTCTCTGATCGCCCCGAGGAAAGAAATAATAGATAAAGAGGAACGTAAAGTTTTTAAATCAAAAGATTACAATTTGACCCGAGCCGGACGAATAGGGATTATCCAGGAACAGAACACGCTTGATCCGATCAATCAGTTGCTCAGCAGACGGAGCCCGGTCACATGCAATAGGTAATCATCAACTTCTAATTTTATCAAAACGCAGTTTCGATATTTGCTCGTTTACACGAGGGTTTTTATTATCTCCGTCCTAAACCGTGTTTAAGCCGCGATATGAACTCCCGGCCGGTGGTATCTATGGAGTCCTCCGTCGAGCAGAACTCGTCGCCGTGGCACAGCATGCTCCACAATGACACGATCATTTCTAACAACAGCCAACCTCCTCTCCATCTTCAACAACAACAAACAAACAATCACAATCTCTCACAGCATCAGACCAACAACCACCACAGTCATGCCAACTCCCTAAACAACTCCCAACCAAATCAAAATCATCACAACAACCATAATAGTCAAAATCAAAATAATCAACTTTCGAGCCAACTTAACTCATCACAAAACAGTGCATCCGATTTCTTCTCGAGTTCAGAAGTTCCAAGCTCGGATTTGGAATCGTCTCTTTTCCAAAACTCGCCCTTCTCCGACGATTTTTCTGTGCTCTTCGGCCTTAGTTAAAGAGAATTGCGCCTGATTTCTAATTTATTTCGACCTTTTAGCGGCCGAGTCGGACGAAATCGCCGAAAATTCGATCCGACATCCGCCACCACGATTCCTCTTTTTTTCCATCAACCTTTTTTTCACTAAGCTCTGGTGAGAAAATCACTACCAGCTTCGAAAAAGACCGTGGAGCGAAAAAAAGTTGTACCAATTTTTCTGTAAAACATGACTTCAACGCAGATTTTTTGCATTTTTCCAGTGCGAAATGCCAAATGTAAATTCAAACTTATTGTAAAAAATACACTTGTTCACGCCAGTTTTTCTTTGGAATAAAACAAATTTACTACAAGCTCAAAATACTGTGTCCTCATTTAAAATTTCCCGGTTCAACTCAAATGACCTGAAAACAAGCATGTAAAAGCAGGGTAGATAAAAATGCATATTCAAGAAAAAAATGCGGTAACATGGAACACTATCATACTATCATAGTTTCGTATGACGTTACATATACCGATAAAAGGTGATTAAATCACATGACCACATCCCCCTGTCGTCCAAAGTACGCGTGATTAGATTAACGGTCAATATACATACATTAATCACGTGATTTTTTACGTAGACATGGATAAGAGCTTGCATCTTGCGGTTTTTTTGGAGCGTCTGGGATGTGTTCATGGCAGGTTAAAGTTAAAATGACGGATCAAGAAGGTAGTATTATGAGTCAATCAGGGATCTGGATTTTGGCCGAAAATGAAAAGCGAAAGCGAAAATTTTCTGAAAATTTAAAGCGAAAACGAAGCGAATTAAAATTACAAAAGCGAAAGCGAAGCGAAAATTTTTCTCAAAAAGCGAAAAATCGCGAAATCTTTCCCAATTCTATGGAGGCTAAAATTGGCTAAAATTGTGAAAAGCGAAAGCGAGTTAGAATAACAAAAAGCGAAAGCGAAGCGAAGCGAATCGAAATTACAAAAAGCGAAATCGCTTATGAGCGAAATCGCTAAGCGAATCCAGACCCCTGAGTCAATCTTATTGATCTGAGCGGGAATATTGGGAGTTTACGGTACCGGAAGAGTAGATTTGTTTTTCCAGATTGATTGGGTCTGAGTGGCTCCGCTTGGGCCGTCTAATAACCGGTTGCCGCTGAATGGCGCTAATTACCGCTTCGAGAGCTGAAACATCGATCACCTTTCCCGAAGGACGCACTGAGGATGACACCTCGCCTATCAAAATATGCCGATTCCGAGCGGTTAAGAGTGCGTTCACACATTTGCATATCAATTACTACGTTAGCAAGGCCCTTAGCAAGATTCGAGCCATTCCACGAAGAAAGGTGACTCCAGGACTCCAAAAAGTGTTACGTTATCTTCCTGCTTCTAAAATTTCAAAAATTTCTCAATATTTTCGCTCAACGTGGATCGACGGAAACACCAAAAGAAAGACTTGAAAGCGGGTTGAAAATTGTCCGCCGGCACCAGACTGTGGCATCCCCAATCGCTGTAAAAATATTTTCCCTTTTTGCATATCGGATCGAGATAAGAGTAAGAACACCGTACTTGAGTAGTCTTGCACTTACTTACTTTCAGCTTATTTTTTCTTCTTACAGTAAGATTTTTACTGTAACTAGCTATTCTCGAAGTGTGGCCCTAACTAAGGGCCCCTTAGTCAAGGGGTTAGGGTTAGAGTTAGGGTTAGGGTTTCTGAGGGAAGAATTGTTAAATTCAAGCTGAAATTTTGCATTGAAATTTTCGTTTTCTATGTACATCTACATAATGAGAAGGAAGAAGATGTAAGAAAGGTTGACTACCAGTGTGGTTATGCGAGTTTGATATTTTTCCGCAACCGCGTTGGCGATAACCTCAGCTTTGAGGAAACTTAGCTTCACCTTTTGAAAAAACATTGGCGCCTATCTCAACCGAATGAAAATACCCTCGCCCAAATCAAAATCTTATGAAATTTCTTCTTCAGCCGAAAATAATGACATTAAAAATAATGACTCAGCCACTAGTGTAATTTTTTTCCGCCCTGTTCTAGCTTGCCCAGCGTTTTTTCTCTATACATACCCTTATCTCCTACGATCTTGTTTTTTCTTACGACGCAGAGCTACCGGATTTTACCTTTTCTGAAAACCGGAAGATCGAAACCCTAGAGTTTATCCATTTAAAATCGACTAAAATCGATTGCGTTTTCTCTTATCGTTCTTTAAATATTTCCGCATTTCTCGACTCCCCCCAAAAAATTTCACCCTTTTTACAAAAGTACTCTTTATAAGAGAGCTTGAGGCAGCAGATTTGAACAAGAGTAAACGGTAAGTAACACTTTGTAGTGAACGTTGAATGAGAAATTCCGCGGCAAGGAGAACGCATCTCTAAATGCAGCGAGAAAATACAATCTGTCAGATTCTAGAACTGGTGTGATAAATTCAATGGAGGGCAGACAATGTCAAAGATTGGTAAAGGTAACTGTTTATTTGTAGATAAATGAGTATTTTTCGCGTTCCGGGGAGAGATAATTCATCTCCTGGATTTCTTCGACTTCTTCTTCTTCGCATACCGCTTTCTATTATAAATCGTATCGTTGGAATCATCGCTAGCAAACGACTCTTCCGAACTTTCTTCCTGTTTCTTCGCTTTCGCTTTCTTCTTCTTTGAGTAGCGCTTTCTATTATAAATCGTGTCCATGGAATCATCGCTGGCCATCGATTCTTCCGAGCTTTCTGATTCTTCGCTTTCACTCGAAGAAGAGCTGACGTACCGCCTCTTTCTGCGCGATTTTTCTTTCCGGGGCGGTGTCTTTCGCCTTGGAGTTCGCGATCGCGAGCGAGATCGTTTCGGCGTTCGGGATCGATGAACGGCTGGTGTTGCGCCGCCCATGTTCTCGATCATCGAAGGCGCTGGCGATGATCCCCGTGTGTTGATCCGCTCGCCGAACTTGTTGTATTGGGGTTTGCCGGTGTCTTTCGCCACTTCTTTTCTTTCCTTTCTGTACTCTTCATAGACTCGGTCTTTGGATCGGCCACGCGAGGAGCTTCGAGATCGGCTGCTGGAGTAAGATCGCGAGCGACTTCGATAGCGTCCGCGTGTTCGACCTCGTGATCGAGATCGAGAGCTAGAAGACGAGTACGATCGGCTTCGAGAACGGCTTCGGGAGTCGTATCTCGGCGGGGTAACCTTCTTTCGTCTTGGTGGAGGCGAGTAATCCTTGATTCCGTGCAACTTGTTGTACTGCTTTCGTTTCTTTCGGTGCTTCTTTCCATCGAGATGCGCGTCTTCCTGGTCTCGCGAGTTCATGGCCACATCGCAGTACTTGCAATAGTAGTACGCTTCTTTCTTCACTTCCTGGCTGAAGTTTTTCTTTCGCTTAGCTTCCTCTTCTTCCAACGTTTCTTTCGAATTCTCCCACTTATCAAAGTCCTTTGCCTTGATAAAAAAAAGTTTTATTTTTCAAAATAAAAAGAAAGAACTTACGAAAATTTTCATGACAGTCCGGGCTTCTTCAATTGAATCATGGTGATCTTCAGCTGGATAGTCCATATCTTACAGGATCAAAAACGGGTAGATTTTTACGGTCATTTCATAAACGCAATTTTCCAATTCGAAATTAAAAAAAATATTTGATTCTGTTTCCTAAATGCTCATCAGCCAGATCAGTCAAAGTGGGAGCCTCCAATCCCAAAGTAAAGGTATACTTTCTGGAAATATCGCGCAACTAAAAGGTGATCCACATTTGCATCTAATCCACATTCACTTTCATCCTCATGCGAATGCTCGAAAAATGTCCATCAAATAAGCAAATGTGGATCACCCAATAATCTTTCCAGCGGCGTACGTAACTCCGAGCACTTTCAAATACGGCTCAAGGTTGAAGCCGACGACGATTTTGTTGCGCAGCAGCTCGCGAACCTTGTCGATGAGTTCTTCTTCCCACTGCTCGTCTTGGATCTCTTCGACTTTGATTCCATGGTGCCATGTTCGCATGTCAATGATGTATTTCGACTGCGGCATGCAAAATTCGTCTAAGCAAAAGAGTCACTAGAAATTCGCGTCTGCAACCTTACCGAGAACTGTCCGGCCATGCGCGTTGACTACAGTCGCTCTTACAAGCACCTTTTCCTGGCTAAACAAAGTTCAGTTTCGATCTTAGCCAAGTAGAACTCACCCAAAAGTATCAGCAGTTTCGAGGGACAGAGAAACATAATCGTATCTTTTTTCCTCTGGAATATTCCCAAAGTACTTTAGGGAGCGATAATCACCATCTTCTCCTTCGTCGGATGATCTCTTTTTTGATGTTTGTGTCATTTTTTGAATGAATTTTTTGGACTCAAAAACAAGCTTGAATTCCATCTAGAATCCTTTATGCAAAAATTGCTATTTTTTATCTAGAAGATTTTTGTTAAAACTTATTTATTGATAAAAAGACTTTAAAATTAACCTTTTTGGTTGAAAATATTGCAAGAAAGAAGTTCTAAAATTCTACGCTCAAGCCAAAGAAATACCGGTAAAGCACGAAGATGACCCTGGGTAACGCTGACCTCGTCGAATTCTTCCGCGCATTTCGCGATCTCGTCGAGAATGATTATTATTTTGGGCGGTATGTAAAATTGCGGTAGGATAGAACATCGAATGACCTTGCTTACACTTGCTCAAGTAAAACAGGTTCAAATTCATTACTACTATTAATTCTAGCGCAAGTTGTTCCAGAGGAAATTGTTTGATCCGGTATCGCCTACGAACAAGGCTACGAACATAAACTACTAGCGGTAAGTCATGTCTAGCCTTGTTTCAACTTGAGTTTGGTAAATTTGCGATAATTGGCTATAAAATAATCATACATGGCGTTTCGATCGACAACTTCGCAAATTGATAATGAGATATTTAGACGCTTCTAGCGATCATGTTTATGGACGAAGAATAAACTCTAAGTCGACAATTTCAATGAGAGAACCCCTGCTTTAAAAGTCATCGAACGGAGTTTGAATTGTTACGAGTTCGCCCCCCTTCACGTTTAAACGTAATAAACGCAAGTACTCAAAGCACTGTGCTATCATTTTCTTCAAAAACGGCGACCGCATATTCTTCAGCCTCGGAGATCTGGTTCCTCTCAAATGTGGTCACCATCCTCTTGTGTTCGCGCCCTCATCTGAAATAACCTCTTCCGCTCCAAAATCCGCACCAATCTCAGATTTTGTAATTTTGTCTAGCAAGCTAGATCGTAACATTGGTCAATAATTTGAGGAAGGGCTAGAGTCCGCAACGTGGAAGCGCGTTTTTTAATCCGGAAATTTACAATTTACCAATTGCCAAAATTCCAAAACTACTTTTTAGCAAAAGAAGCAGACTGCCTCGGTTGCATAAAAATATTGAGCGACACTTCTTATGTCGCCGAATGTTGCTGAATGTCGGCGAATGTCGCTGAATCTCGCCAAATGTCGCTGAATGTCGTCAAATGTCGGCGAATGTCGGTGAATGTCGGCGAATGTCGGTAAATGTCGCTGAATCTCGCCAAATGTCGCTGAATGTCGCCGAATGCCATCAAATGTCGCCGAATGTCAGTGAATGTCGCCAAATGGCGCTGAATCTCGCCGAATGTCGGTGAATGTCGCCGACCAGGGCCCTCCAAAATATTTACGAGACACGGTAGTATTACTCGGAGTAAATCTAATTCAAACTCCCCCAACAAGTTGTTGGGCCAACAACAGGCAGTCAATTTTTTCATATCTCTCCTCTTCAAGAGGACCTCTTTAGTAAGAGCCAAGCAAAATTGATTACTTCAAGCGATCCGAACCGCAACGTAGCTATCGTTTATCCCCGGTGAAACCGTCTGCTAGTAAATTTACGAGGAGGCGAACAGACCGAACTACAATCATTTTCCGTCGAGTATCGCGCTGGTTATCAAAGCACGGGCGAGAAAGTTAAGCTAAGATAGGTTTACCTATTTAAATAGGCAATTAAAGTATAGGTTCAGTAGCGACTTGATTTTGCGGTTTTTTCGTTATTATGATTGTTATTTTTGTCAAAATTACACTCGAACGTAAGCATCTTTGCATGCAGTTATTATGAAGTTCAGGTACTTTTTTTGAGGAATTTTTCTGAAGAACCACTTTGCTAAGCCGGAATCTACGCAAGAGTAAGGGCGATTTTCAATTGTTAACCACTACCGTAGTGCTTCGTTGTAGGTAATTATGAATATATTTTCTATAAACAAGGAGAAGAAATGTCCGTTGGAAACGGAATAATTAGGAAGAAGGAGCAGAGTTCAATGTCAAGTCCTGAATTTTGGCTCTGCAACCTGTGCAAGAAACCTGACTCAGGCTTTGAAGAGCTAAAATATAAAGCCGCGTAGCGGCTTTTTTAAAAACGAAGCCGCGAAGCGGCTTTGCCAATGTTTATACATAAAAAAGAGTGATTGTGTTGCGAAGCCGCTTTGCGGCTTCGTTTTCAAAAAAGCCGCTACGCGGCTTTACACTTTTGCTCTTCAAAGCCTGACTCAGGTTTTTTACACAGGTTGCCGAGTCCAGGCCTAAATAGTCCTGAATCTTGACTAATTTTCTGACAGTTCTTTGCTTCTTGGAAATCAAGGGCAGTGGCTGATCGTGCTCATTATGCCTGATGATTGCGAATTTTGCATTTTCCCAAATTCAGAAAAATGCGCGTTGCGCGAAAAATTGGCGCCAATCAGTTCAGAATATTGCATTATGCGTGCGCAGTGGTCATCAGACGACAGGCTGAGGGTAGGAGCAGACAATAAACGTGCCCAGTAGCCAGATTCATACTGCATTTTGGCGACCGAGCCGCGCTTACACAACGTTTTGACGGGCTGAAAAATTGGCCACTCTTTTGAAATGGTAAAAAAACGACACACGAAATTGTCCATTTTTTTGTCTGCGGCTTGAACTTGTTCTTCTACGCTCAACTCATCAAATTCTAGACAGAAAAAATCGATAAAAAATAAAGTAAAAAATCCAAATTTCAACCTCAAAATATCGATAAAGCTTCGTAAAAGACCCTGGATTTCTATATTTAAAAAATGAATATACAGTAACAATTCAAAGCTTCTAACCAAGCTCCACCAATACATAGCATACAACCTTGTTTTTACAAAACATGAAAGAGAGCGGTTTTCGTATTGAGGTGTGAACACGAACCATCACTTTTCTAGGTGTCAATTATTACTAGTACACGAGTATTATTCCCAAGTCGAACACACAAAAATAGACTGCAGTTCACAATCGTCAACGTCCTCAAATTTGAAGAGAGCGCACTAGAAGCAAAAACGTTCTCGCAATTAGCGCCTCAATACTGTATCTTCCGTCGAAATTTTTTAAACTAGGGCAGTATCGAGTACTTTTACCGGAGAAGTACTCACTTTAATGTAGTCTACGGTTAAGTCTAGTAAACCGTAACGGAGCTTATCGCAGCTTTTTTTCTTTTTCGAAGTTGTATGAAGTGTGAACCTTTAGTTCGTTGAATTGAAGCTTTAGGCTTGAGAAAGGCTTAATCAGAAAAAAAATGCTCTTAAAAAATACTCAAAAGCAGTTCTCATTTGTGGATAGTTTGTAGTTTGCTCCTTTGAAGGCGCCAAAACCGCGATTACCGTCTGGTTGAGCTGCGGTTGAGCTATTTTTTGGACAGTAGTCCGATGCTGGGTTCAAAGCGGCCTTGTAAAAACACAGCTAGATACCAAGAAAGAGACGAAAGGAGGAACTGGCGTCACTGCTTGGTGCGGCGAGGTTGCATTCATCTCTAACCGCTTGCATACGTAAGCAAAATAAGCTCACTCTATCTTCCGGATTGCAAGAAATGATTACAAAGAGGAAGAAGCCACTATAGGACGCGAGCATGGAAAAATGAAGTCAACTTCGATGAAAAAACTACTGCCGAGTTAAAAGTTTCGATGAACTTTTAAAATCAATAATGTCCAAAATTTTCACAACAAATGAGGATGGGCGTTAGTTACTTCCTGTTCCTTGGAGTTCCATTCTGCCGATAACAGAAAAAAAAATACAGTGAAAAATCGAACTCCCGCCATTTCTCTAAAAAGAGATCTAAAATTGAGATTTAATTGACAATTGCGATCATAGGTTACCCTTCATTCAAGACCCCCTTGACCACTTTGCTTTTTAATAAATACGACTGAACCAAAGATAAGCCTGTTACCAATTCATTCGTAGCAATTAGTCAATTCATTGTTATTAGTTCAACTTTGAAAATGACCATCGCAGAAGATTTCTGATTTCCAAAAAGGATCAGAAATGTTCTAAAAACAATGGAAGGAATGTACCTTTGGAGAAAAGAAATGCGAAGAACGTTTATTGGCAGTTTTTTCCAAGTAAGAGGGGCAAATGGGATTAGCAGTGAGGAGTGAACGGGGCATAGAAAGAGACTTCCTGCTTGAATTCTTCCGGAAATTCATGAGAATGAGTATTTTTGGCCCCAACACTTGAAAAAAATAGGGATGGCAAACTGAAGTATGATCACTTACATTCCGAGAACGTTCGTAAGAACATACTTGGAACTTCTTCAAAAAGGGGTGAAATTTTCAGTCCGTTTTTGTTGTGGCTTTTTGTTTTTGCCGAATCAGATAAAGACTGAAACTTATCTTTTTTGGACATTTTGCGGGTTTTTCCAGGCGTAAAAATGTCTCAGGAAAAATTTGTCTAAAAGTAGTTTTTCAAGAAATAAGCGGCTTTTAGATCAGAAAGTAGAACCACCTTTCCAGGTAAACTTAGCTTGAATATAAACACAGTTCGTTCCTCTTGCGATTTTCAAGGGTCACGAACTGTGTTTAGAGTCCAACAAAGCAACACTAGAAGTCTGCTTTCAAGCCTTTCAAGCCGATTATAAGCGATGCTCTGGTGATGAGCCGCGCAAGTTGGCAAAGGGGGCAATTTATATTCACCAGCGCTGGAAAAAACTTCGCAATCTTTTCTTGCTTCCGGTAACCACGTTTTTCCTCTTGACCTTGCCACAGAAATACGCTACCATTTCTTAGCTGCTGTTAGAAGATCTTCTCTATGAACCATACTGAATCGAAAGTTTATAGATTATAATGACCACTAGGACAGCAACCTGTGTAAATGACCTTAGTCCGGGTCTGAAGGAACTTAATGGAAAAGCCGCGTAGCGGGTTTTATAAAAATAAAGCCGCGAAGCGGCTTTTTATGTACCGAAGCCGCGAAGCGGCTTCGCCTGAATTGAAGCTGTTTCAGATTCTGAAAGTCAGACCCTGAATCAGGTTTTCTTTACAGGTTGCCAAGCTTAGAATGACCGAGTTACCTGCTCAAAACCAAAGTACAGAAGATGGAACGCGGAATGCGCAAATACGAAAACAGAAAAACAGGAAGCTAGAACTCGTGACCTGCGCTGGGAGAAGCATCCTCTAAGAGATCTTGCATCCAGCGATCCTGATCTCATGGGAAGTAGCTGATCCATTATGGCCGGGAGGTCGACCCGTTAGATTTCAACCGGCGCTACTTTCTTGCTTGGATAATACGAGTTTTCTTCGTAAATAAACAATTCTAGATGAAGGAATTCTTCTTTTACGAAAAATGAGATGAGTGAAATAATTAACAAATTGGAGCAAGTACCCAAGTATGAGAACGCGTTATAAACCTAAACGCATGTCGGGTAAAACTAAGAGCGTAATAAGAGTAGCGGAAGCGAAAATTCAAGATGTCACATTCGGGAGACAGCGCTAGATAAGTAATGAAATCAGATTTTTTGAAAAACATGCTATCTAAGACATGCTCAATCAATCCCTAGGAGACAAGATACGGAACGCTTGCATAAATCAAAGAAACTAAAGAACGAATCGCTTTCTCTGAAGACTGAATTTTTCAAAAAATCTTAAGGGTGTCCACCAGAAATTGGTGTTTGAAAAAGTCATTCCCAATTGGGGGAAAGACCTTCTAACTCTAACCCTAACCCTAGATACTGTATCTGCTACTGAACTTTAATATTTGTACGACCTAAAATCGCTAAAAAAGAAATCATGTTTAAAAATTTTTTGATCCGTGAAATGAAATCTGTGAGAATACACGCCTTCGCCGTAGCTTATAATTATGCGAATTGCAGCATCAATATTTTCATACCCAGTCGATGTCAGACAGGGAACGTGAGAAAGTCAAATATTCTGATTCGATTTTCGAAATTGTGGGATTGCTGTCTTAGAAATAGGCTTATGATTTGACTGAAAAATGACTGACACAATTTTATCAGTGAGAGTGTATTTCTTGGGCAGTGTATTGGAGCAGGACATGTTTCTAGCTTTGAACTTCGCTTGGCTCTTGAACGGGCTCGTCATCGTGCGTCTCAAAATGCGCATTCTTTTGCAGAACTAATATCGGGTTGTCAGGGTCCAAGTTATGCTGGGGATAAACTTCCGAGTGAGCTGATCGCATCTTGATGATGCCGACATCAATGAGCGTCTGCACTTTTTCCACCATTTCCGGATTGCGCAGGTAATCGCTCTGATCTCGCAGCGAAAGATCCTTCAGCAGGGCCTTGATTTTCGGATCTACGAAAAATAGTTACTTACAGCATAAATCTACGGAGCTAGTTTTTAGACGCTGTTAAGCCACTCTCGGCGATGCATGATACTACCACGGTATTGCACGTCTGTGTAGAAATTAAGATAATAGCAGCTTAATCCGCCGGTAATCAAATTGTACGCATGATGCTTAGCAGGAATTACACTCAATGGAAGCATGACTTCATACGAATCTCGTGACAAGAAAGAACTGGCCTAGATCCCCAAATCTGGGCTCGGCAACCTGAGTCGGGCTCTGGAAAAGCTAAAATGAGACGCGGTTTTTCATTTTAGCTCTTCCAGAGCCTGACTCAGGTTTTCTACTCAGGCTGCAAAGCCCAGCCCCAAATACGATCGAATAAAAGGAAATCTAACCAAAAGCGTCTTCGCGTCGTCGCCTAACCAAAGGCGTCTCAAACGTTTGACCTTGATCATCCAAATACTCTATTACGGAACATTGCCAGTTGTATATAAAGAAATTATAATATGATAATTGGCCGTTTATGCAGTATTTAATTTTATTACCGCCAACACTTGTTCTCGCTCTCCGGAGCGTAAAAACGTGCTGACTGTAAATATCGAACAAATTACTGATAAGTCCCTTTCTAAAAGGGATTATTAATGCGGAGGATTTACAGTAAAGGCCCGGCTTACCTGCTAGAATTTCCATAATATTCTCGTTGTACTTTTTGCGTAATTTGAGCTGTGTCGGGTTGTTTCGGACTTGGAAGGAAGCCTTTAGACAGCGCTTTAGACCGCGTTTTGCTAGGAAAGAAATTATTAAATAACATTTCTCGTAATTCTCGTAACAGAAGTCCGCTCTTTAAATAGATGATAACTCAGATGAACAAGAAACAGGCAATTTTTATTTAGACTTGGGTCGATTTTCAACCTTGCTCAAAATAGAAAAAATCTCAAAATAACCAGTCTCAAATAAAAATATAGGTTACATGAATAAAAATAATCGCCTACCTTCTTCAGACGTCGCTTGAATTTTCAGCGCAGTTTGAAAGGCATTCGACGCTTGATCGTACATTTTATCGCATTCTAGCGCCGCTGCCTTGAGTAGCCAAGCATCGGCGTTTAATTTGCCTTTGAATGGGGTCACAAATTCTTTTTGAACAAAGTCGAGTTCAAAAATTGAGTAACGTGAACGAGAAAAAACTCGCGGAAGATTTTTGTATACAGAAAATGCGACATTCGGAGTTTTAAATATTTGTGACCTCGTGGCGATCTCGATTGCGGCAAGAGCATCGGCGAGGCATTCCCGAACGTCAAACATGCACAGAAAAACGCGTCCACGTTGGAGCAAGAGGCGAGTCCTGTTTTTCTGAAGATAAATTGTTACCCCTTAGAATCCATCCAGTCTACCGAAAAGAAGACTGAAGAATAAATTTATCTTTTGTCGGGTAGCCTGTATTTTCGCTAATTGCGAATTGTAATTACTCATATCAGCAGTTTCTACTGAAGCTACAGAAATGTTTTGAAGAATACTAATTGCTTCCTAAAATAATAAACACAGCAAAATACCGTCCCAATGGACCGATGGTTAGTTTTGGCAGTAAGTCGGATTTTGATTATTTTTATCAAGCTACAGTCGTCAAAATCTGTAACTACAGATGTGAAACAAAAACATGTTACACAAAAAAGTGGAAAAATATATTCGGAAATGGAATGTTTCTGGCAATTATTAATTTCATTTAATAGTTCTCCTAGATGTTACGTAATGACGATTCCCTCTTAATTGCTTAGTCAGTGTCGAGCCACGTCTGACCAACCAGTGGTTGGCCCGGGCGTGACTCGGCACAAAATTTTCCGAATTGCACTCAGCTCGGCGCTGCCACTCCACTCGACGAACAGGCACGGGCCGAGCAGCCCAATTTACAAAAAATACTGTTTTATCCTCTGCCTCCCCGACTGGAATAATAGAGACAGAGAAACGATTTCTGAGAGTTACAGTGTGTTTATTGTATATTGCAGGACTGTCGCGTTTGGTCGATTCAGAGGGCATACTTAGTTAGATGATAGTTCCTAGTTAGCAGCTTTGAGAACTATTAGTGGTGTTGAAGTGTAAAATGAACCTCCTGACAACTAGTCCTTCTGGACTAGTATTATTCTAGAGTTATTCTAGGGTAATTTTAAATAATTTTAATCATAATAAATATTCTAAATCTTAGAATAAGATGCACTCTGTGTCGACGACCGGCAGTTCTACCCTCGTCGAGTCACAGATAGGGTTCAGAACATGGTAAGAGTTCTGAAATTGTTCGCGCCCAATAGAGGGGCCGCGCGCTAGGCACGCGGAACCTATCCGCCAATCAGAGCCACCAAATTTTTCAACGGCTAAATTGCCACGTAGCCGGCCTGATGAGGATCAGATAGGGACCGCGCGCGCACCAAACGGTGTTTACGGTTAGAAAACCGATTATGGCTACGTTCAAATGCACTCTAAGGCGATGTTCGGCGAAATACTAGTTTTTACATCCGCCTAGAATCTCTAGTTTTCTACCGGTAATAAACTACGAGCATTCTAAACGTGAAAAACGATATACCTGAGTGCAGGGGGTAAAATAGGTTATTTTCCCCGAAAATTTTCTCGAGTTCTAGAATAAAATTTTTTTTTTTCAAATATTTTCTGTCAACCAATGTTCATGCCCGTTAAAAGAGTCAATCATACTACGAGTGTGATCAACGGACAACATGGACGCTATCAAAATCGATATTCTTCTGAAGCAACAATTAATCAAGACCTACGAAAGCCGTCCACCAGCTGACACTGCGCAGCAGGACGAGCTTGCGAAGGCGAAAAAGGAGCTGGCGGAACTTAATGAGAAGTATGTCGCCTTGGCTTTAGAACAGCCGAGTGGCAATCCATCTCAGGGTGCCGTCGGCAGTGCAAATTATTACATTCAGAGTCAAATTCTCATGTCTCATCTCGGGAAACTCGGAAAATTCACAGGTAATAACTGTGAGGCTACGACTGTTTTCCTTCAGAAAGTGAAGGGAATCATTCAAGCTTGTCCGACTCTCGGATTTGACATGATTTACGGAGCCGTTAAGGCCCACATCGCACCCAATGTTCTTAAAACGTTGGATAATGCGCAAGTTAAGGATTTTGAGTCTCTCGAGATAGCCTTGAAGAAAACTACGGTTTGTTCTCAAATGTCTATCAGCGATTAGAAAATTGGTTGACAGCCCCTAAGCCTACTGGCACTTCTTTCACGCAGCATCACTGCGAAACTTCCAATGCCCTAGAACCAATAATCGATAGCTTCCGAGAGGAGCTTATCAAAATGCGAAAGGCCACCGGTCAGGACGATTATAAGCCTGATTTCCGGGATGCCTTCGGTGCGCTCAAGATTTTGAAGTGTCTCCAATCAATTCGCCAAGATAGTGACGACGTTTATTCTTCAATTATCATTGAGCTTAAAAGTTTTCAATCTTCCGAGCAAATTGCTCAGCGCGCAGAAGCTTTGAATACTCAGACTTCTTTCAAATCGGTTAATACTGCCGAAGGGGGTAGCCAGGGTTCTTCAAACCAGAATAACAAGAAGAAGAACCAGGGTAACCGCCAAAATGGGAATGGCGGCGACGGTCGCCAGTCTCAACCTAAACAAGGTGGCCAAAACAACGGCCAGAAAAACCAACAAGGTGGGAACCGCGGTGGACATCAAGGTCACGGTCGAGGTGGCCGTGGAGGAAACCGAGGCGGTGGCCGGGGTGGACACCGAGGTGGCCAAAATTCTAATGGTTCCCAAAACAACCGCACTTCTGGTGGCTCCCAACAAGGGGGTAACTACCAAGGTGGTACCAGCGGTCAATCAAATGGAAGTGGCGGTCGAGGATATCACCACGGTTCCGATCGGAGCCGGGGAATGTCACGCGGCTACCAGTACGCAATTTCAAACGGTCCTTCGTATTCTAACGCTACTTTCCATGACGCACAATATCAGCCTCTCGGCGAATATAATGATGAGCTTGATAATGGGCAGTTCTACGATCTCGGTAATAACTACGCCACAGATGCTAACTATGATTACTCCGGTCTCGAAGAATCATACGTTACCTTCGATTGTGAGCCAAAAACTAGACGAGTCCGGCTATGAAAATGATCTGGCCGGACAAACTTCCCCAAATTTTTCGATGTATTTCCCTGGCAACTCTAGTCCTCTCTTCCTTCCAATAAGATTTAATAACTTCAATGATAAATGGATCTCAGCGCTCTTAGATTCCGGTAGTTTTGCCTCACTACTAAGTGAAACAGTTGTTACTGATCTTAGGCTAAAGATGAGCCCTGTAAACCAAACGGTCCGCGGGGTCGGTGGCAAAAGTCAAAAGCACTCGGCCGCGTTGTGACTGAGATCAATATTGGTAACACGACTTGGCCAAACGTTGAATTTTTCGTTCTACCGGCGGAATGTATGACTATTCCGTGTATTCTAGGACGGCGTCCGCTCAATGAGCGGTGCTTAGAGATCAACATGAATCTACAAGAGAGAACCATCGATTTTCGTTCACAAAGGAACGAGTGGGCATTTATCCCCTATATGAGTCATCCGCGGCAACAGTCTCTTCGTCGCACGAGACTCGGTAATATTAATGCAGCCACTGATCCGCAGAGCACAGCTCAACTGGTTGAGACTGTACTCGAGCGAATCGGGGCGGCCATTAACACTGAGTGCTCCGATAAGGCGAGAAAGGTAGCTCTTATAGTGCTTAAAAACGAGCCAACTTTCAAGACGTCAGAAAGACCAATCGGTGAGTATAAGGCATATGAGGCAGAAATCCTTACCGTGCCCGGTAAGACTCGTCACGTTCCACAGTTTCGGGTCGCCGAGCGACACGTGGGGCCCATCACTGAGCAGATTGAAATGCTCAAGAAAATCGGGGTTCTGGCGATTTGTGAGAATAGTATGGGGTGGAATACACCCGTCGGTGCTGTTAGCAAGCACGACGGGGGTTCCCGCCTCATACTTAATCTAAACCTCACGGTTAATCCCCTTCTTGTAGATGCAGACACTTACCAAATTCCGAATATCGAGGCCGCGATGGAGGTCCCAGTGGGAATGAAATACTTCGGCCTCTTAGATATTGCATCGGGTTTTTGGAATATCAAGGTAAGGGAGGAGGACCAGGTAAAATTGTCTATTTTCTGGAACGACGAGTGTTTGAAATTCACTCGTCTTCCATTTGGATTACGTAGCTCAGGTCATTTATTCGTCCGTGCAATTACGCACGCTCTCCGGGACATGAAGCACAGGAAGAACATCATGTTATTTGTTGACGATATATTATTGTTCAGCGATGACTTTGATACTTACTGCGCTACTCTTGACGAGTTATTATCCAAACTCGCAGAGTACGGTTTCGTTTGTGGAGGATCCAAAACGAAATTATTGTTCCCCGAGAACAAGTGGCTAGGCCGGATCATAGACGCCCAGGGCCAACGAGCCGACCCAGATAATGTCAAAGCCATCGTCGATATGCAGCCCCCAAAAGATTATAAAGGGCTGCAGTCCTTATTGGGGATGTTAAATTGGTGCCGCAACTTTGCATCAATTAAACCGGGCGACCCCATTGCCACCGAAAATTTTTCACATCTAATGAAGCCCATCAATCAAGTTCTGAAAACTAATAGACCACGGGGTAAGTTTGATTGGCCTTCGAGTGCGCAGAAAGCGTTCAATAAAATCAAGGTCAAGCTTGCCTCGGAGTCAATGATTTGGTTTCCAGATTTTTCGAAGGAATTCATTCTTGTAACCGACGCTTCTGCATCGGCGGCAGGATGGAGTCTTCTCCAAATTGTGGACGGTAAGTCCAGAATCGTTAAAATCGGTTCAAAAACATTTACAGAGTGCCAGTCAAGGTATTCGGCTTCCGAACGCGAAGCCAATGCTATTTTATTGGCTGTTACTGACTGTAGAGTATACCTTCTTGGACGTAGATTTATCATTAAAACAGATCACAGAGCCTTGACCTTTATTGATCAGCGGATCAGTAAAAACGACAAACTGGCAAGGTGGTGGCATTTTTGTCACAGTACAACTTTGTCTGTATATATATCGAAGGTCAGGCAAACGCGCTCGCTGACTACTTCAGTCGGCCAGCTAACTTGGACATGTCTCGTCCTACTTACAAGGGCGAGAACGGCCCAGCTGGGACGTTCCACAAATTTCACAATTTTGATATCTACGTTCCATCGTGGGTGTCACTTAAAGACTCCCCAGAGGTAAAGTTCAACGCAAATGACTTGACCTCACCTGAAGGTCTATCAGCACTTGTGTCAAGTGACATAGCCGCTCATGTCACTGAAAAAGCTCCCATTGAGAA